TTATCGAATTTATCTTATGTAAACATATTGTAAAAGTTCCGATCTTCAAAATAAAAAAAAGTTTCAATATCTAAAGTGGTTCTTGAGTTATGGCGGGTTATGTGTTAAAAAGTTGAGTTTTTAAATTATCGTAATTGCTGACGTTTTCTCTTTATCAAAAAATGACACCCTAACAATATCCTTATAATTCCATTTCAGATGCTCAGAAACATGTCTAATGATTATATCTAGTTATCTTTTCGAAAAAAAAAGTCTTTTAAAAATAAACGGTTTGGGATCGTGATTTTACTTTACTTGATAGGGAAAGGCGTACTGGCAACGCCGCAACAGCACACCGTCGCATTTCTCTCACTCCGACTTCATAAGATCCCTATGCGATTTACTTCCACACATGTAAATACCGACCCAAAAGTAACAGTTGCCAGCACGGTATAGAATATGTTTATTTTTACTGGTTCAAACATTTTTAATAGCACCTCAGTGTTGTCAAAATAAAAAAAAATGTTATGCATGCCGCTCGTCGATAGACGACGCGATAAGACGAGTCGGCAGAAAATCGACATGCAGGCGTTCTCAATAGGCAGTGTTGCCATTCTGTTCCCCTATATGTAACTGTCCAGTTAACAGCCTATATATGGCATGTAATAAATAGTTAGATATAGGTAAATAGTTTTGTTATTAAAGCTATATGTCTTTTCCTTTTCTTTTAAGTCCTCGTTGAACCTAAGAGAGGGAATGAATGAAGTTGAATTTAGTGTAACGACTGCTTATCAAGGAACAACTAGATGCCAGTGTCATTTGTATAAATGGAAATGGGACGACAAAATCGTTATTTCAGATATAGATGGCACTATCACAAAGTAAGTATAAACAATTGCAGTAAAAATTGTTAAAATGGTCATGCATCAATATGTCTCTTCATAATTTTCTGTATTTTGTAGGTCAGATGTTTTGGGTCACATTTTGCCAATAGTCGGCAAAGACTGGGCTCAGTCGGGGGTAGCTCACCTCTTTAACAAAATCAAAGACAACGGATATAAACTTCTCTATTTGAGTGCCAGGGCAATTGGCCAAGCCAGGATTACGAGAGAAGAATACCTAAAGTCCATTAAACAGGGTGATATGAGTATGCCAGACGGGCCCATTCTATTAAATCCTACATCATTAATAACCGCATTCCACAGGTAACAAGTTTATTTAAACCTTGATGTATACATTGTATGTTAGCACATTAAACCTACTTTGAATAAAAAGATGAAGGAAGGAGTATAATGGTATCAATGTATGGTAGGCGGAGGTAGGGCCCTAGGATAGGGATCCTTGACACTTCTGTTTCACGATTCATTTGACACATTTGAATTTGATTTGAAATTATGTGGATTTGTCAGTCTTTACTGAGCTTATTTCATGTTATTTATTCTACAACTGGTAGTTGTCTAGAGGTTGAATGAACAGTGACACTATTTCGATTTATCGAAAAAAAAAACTGTAAATAGAATTAAACCGCTGGCGCTGGGTATTTATTACTTATTAAGGTTTATTTCAAACCAGTATAGGTCTGATGATGACTGATTAGCCAAAATCGGTCACTAATAAACAGTTTATAGTGGTTTGACAATGGCTTTAATTTTTAGTTTTCATGACAAGATTCATATAGTTATAGAATCTGTCCATTTCAAAGTGGTGGCTCAGTTAGAGACATAATCTTCTTTCTTCTTCCTACTCTATATTAGGCAGATTGCCTGTTCATTCTTCACATCATGCCTACAGTTTCAATCGATGGTAAGGTTATCACACCATCTTTTTCTTGGCCTTCCCGTACTTCTTCAAAGTGGTGATTTGTCTCGAGCTGACCTTACTATTCTTCCCTCGTCCATTCGGCTTATGTGTTCATTCCTTTCGCGTCTTCTTGCATGTTTGCCTTAGGTTATCGCTTCGTTCTCTATCTAGCAGCGTTTTACCTGTGATTTTCATCTCGCCTGTTTCCAAGAATCTTTTTGTTTTTGCTGTATCCGGTCTGGTTTCTGCTGTGTAGGTCATTGTGGATCTGACGACAGCCTTCTATATTCTTGACTTGCCCTCGACACCTATGTATTTATTTTTCCATATGGTGTCGTTCAGACATCCATTTTTCTCATTGCTTTTGTTGTTTGTTGTCTTACCTCTGTTTCGATATCGCCATAACTGGAGAACACTATACCGAGATATTTAAATTTCATTTCTTGCAGTATTATTAAATAATATTAAATAATATCCACGACAATCTTGCATCTGATAGGTATTTTTGATGTTGTCAGGCTCTTTGTTTTGGATGCAGAGATTATCATGTTATAAAATTTTGCTACTAGATTGAAGCGATATACTAGTCTTTGGAGGTCGACTTTATTTTCTGCGAATAGCACAGCGTCCGTCGTCGGCATAACATAGAATTGTCATATTACTGTCTCCCATTTTGTATCCATTTAAATGGCGCACTTGTTTTATTTCGTCCATGATTATATTAAAAAGAAACGGGCTTAATGAATCGCCTAGTCGTATGCCTTTCTCTACAGGTATTGGTTCAGTAAGATCCCAGTGGATATTTGTTAACACTGTATATAGTTTCTATGACTTTAATTAAGTTATGGAGTATTTGTCTGTCATAAAGTAAATGTACAACATCTTCTAATTGAACCCGATCAAATGCTTCCTGCAGGTCTATGAAACACATGTAAGCTGGCCTGCTGTACTCAATCGATTTTTCTGCAATCTGTCTTATAACAAAGACCGCATCAGTGCATGATCTACCTGTTCTAAATTCTTGTTGCTCATCTGATAGAGATATAACGCTGTTTAATTTGTTTGTTATTATTTTTGTTCTTAGATTTAATGTTATGCTGAGAAGATTTATGCCTCTATAGTTTTCTGGCCTTTATCCCTCTTTTTAAACATAAGGATAGTGGTACTTGTTCGCCATTCGTCGGGTATTCTTTGGTAGAGAAAGATATGTTTAATTAGTTTAGTTAGTTGCCGGATTAGATATGGTCCTCCATTCTTAAGTACTTCATTCGGAACGTTGTCTTGTCCAAGACTTTTTCTGTTTTTTAATTGTCGCAGCGCCATATCTATGTCTTTACTTTCTATTTGTATGTTTTCGTTAGTGGTTATCTCTGGTGTATCATTCTGCTCAAATGAATCTTCCTCTTTGCTGTAGAGCCTTGTGAGGTAGTCAACCATAGGAGCCTTGTGAGGTAGTCAGACATAATAATAGCCGCATAAAATATTATGAGTGATATTATGTTATTTTTTGAGTACTACTGAAAATGTAGAAGAACTTGAATTACTTATTATAATTATATTTTTAGGGAAGTGATTGAAAAGAAACCCGAGGCATTTAAAATATCGTGTATGTCGGATATTAAGGCTCTCTTCCCATCAGATTCTGAACCCTTTTACGCGGGATACGGAAACAGGATTAATGTATGTGATTTTTAGTTTGTAAAAATTACGCCTGTTTTCTTTATATATTTTTCATTGTAGGACGTCTGGGCATATAGGGCAGTGGGTATCCCAATACATAGAATCTTCACTATCAATCCTAAAGGGGAACTGAAGCACGAACTTACTCAGACTTTCCAATCAAGGTAGGTTTATTTTATTTTTTCTATATAATTTTCTTGGTAAGCAGGGGCAGTTGCTTTTGGCGCATGCTTTAACATGATACTGTGTAGTTTACCAACCGAATTTATATATGATAACCCACTAGTTTGGAAAAAGTTTGCCCTTTGAGATTTTAACTTATTTCTATCTAACCGTAAGTTAAAGTCTCGCAGGACACCTGATATGTATTTTTTACAATCTACACACAGATGCAGAAAAAACGCAACGGAAAAGTTTGGAGTGTTATATTTTTTTTACTTTTAGCCCTATTTTCATGATTTTTTTAGCAAACTGTATATATATCTATCAACTTTAATTCATAAACTCAGTTTTTATAAACTTATGGACAAAAACAAAGGTACTCGGTGGCGTAGAGGTACAGGCTTTCGTCTACCAATCTCAAGGTAGTGCGTTCGAATCCTACACCCGGCAATTCATCAGCCGACTATTTTTATTAAAATAAAAAAAAATAGTTTGGGTACCTAGGTCGACTCAGCCTTAAATGAGTACTTGGGATTCACAATCCTGAGGTAATAATAGGCGGTTGAAGCGTAGTGCTAGCCACATTACCTTCCTTGTATACCGAACGGCTCTAGCATGGCAAGCTGTACCTTGCTACTCCCAAGGCGTCAAACGCTATATACGGGAGCTATTATTATTATATATACACTCACCGGCAAAAAAAACCGGCACTAAAAACTAGTCCCAATTTCAGAGTTGGATTTCTCGCGAACCACTCAATAGATTTTGATGATTTTTTTTTAAATTGTAAATTAATTCCTTCTTAACGGATGCTACGTCACAAATTTTCATTCCGAATTTATTTTGAGCATATACAAGGTACAACAATAAGACGAAGTTTTTTGCTCGAACTTTGTGACACCCTGTAGGGTGCAGAAGCTGTAGTAGCTATTGCTAAATCAAATCACATTGTAGCCTCGTCTTTTCTGCGCATTTCCTTTTTTTAATCACGACATTATCTCTGTTTGTAGTTTGTATTGGAGATACGCTGCTTTAAAATGAACGTCTCGGAAAAATGCTTTGCAGGCAAAACCGCGACCAAACCAATTCACATGTAAACGCGCAAACTGCAGACGTGCTCGACGATTAGTGATGAGCCAAACCGTGATTTTCTGTTCACAGGCTTACCTGTGACAGCGACTTTGTATTATCTGTGACTCTTAACTGTGACTGCGACTTTATGATTATGAATTCGAAAGCACAATCACGGCTAAAATATAAGATACGATACGAATGATACGATTCTGTTGTTGTTGTTATACTAATTTTTATTTGTCCTTTATCCAAGGCCGCTGAAATAGAAAACACTAAACAGTGGGTAAAAGGTATATTAAAAATAAAAATAAAACAATTTTTTATTTAAAGAAACCAACGGGAAAAGAATAAAATATGCAATATGCTCATAACCATAACGAACGAAACTTAACAACACGAGATAACTAATACATTAAACAACAAATATTTTCCTTTGTATTAAAATAAACGAAATATATAAAAAATGAAGTTTCTAAAAATAAACAGTATAAAGGTAAAACTTTATGTTTGGCTTTAAAAACCTGCTAAACTAAAAGGAACCAAACCGATTCGTAGTGATAAAAATAGTAATAAAAAAATATAAAATACATAAAAAATTAAATCACTTCTAACAGTCTCTGTCTTTAGATCACTTTGTCAGATATCTATCCTATGAGACGTACGTGGTGACTCGTGACTGTGAACTGAGTCACGACCGGCGCCATCGGCAGCTGCGTTCGCGACGCGCGAAGTCCCGCTCTGTGAAGTATTTTCTCGTTACCAGAGAAATCACAATTAACTGTAATCGTCACGCTTTAGCAGAAATCACAATTAACTGTAATCGATTGCTTTAGCAAGTCACCGTTTATTTTCAAATCAGTCACAGGCCGTAACTGTGATTATAGAATATCAGTGACAAAATCACAGTTACCGATATTTCACTCATCACTATCGACGATGTCTTGGAAGTAGCTGGGGTCCTGTGGCAGGCCTCCTTGCAGACAAGCTGTTTTCTTTTAGTCTTTGTTGGATTGTTCTCTCACTGACTTGAGTTCTACGCACGGCTTGAAGCATGTGTTGATTCTGAAACGCTGTAATTCTACGATTTCGTAAAGTATTCAGGGCAATAATGCGTTCGTCAATTATTGCATTTGTCTTCCGTTTTCTTCCGGAACCCACTCGCCTGGTGAAATTTTCCGTTTCCATATACCGATTCCAGGCATCCTAGACTGTTGTTCGAGGTATGCCCAGGGTATCGGACACAACGTTGACTTCGGCCATCCTCAATTAAAGCCACAATATGAGCAACGTCCGTCACAGATAATGGCGTTTTTTAATTTGACAACAGTTGTCATATTGCAAATACTCATAAATCCGTTTTCGCCTATGTCGCCTTGATTATTTACACATACAGCTTTCTGCCTGTGAAGCATTTTTCCGAGATGTTCGTTTTAAAGCAGCGTATCTCCAATAAAAAGAGAGATAATGTCGTGATCAAAAAAACAAAATGCTCACAAAAGATTAGGCTACAATGTGATTTGATTTAGCAATAGCTACTACAGCTGCTGCACCCTACAGGGTGTAACAAAGTTCGGGCAAAAAACTTCGTCTTATTGTTGTGCCCTGTATATGCTCAAAATAAATTCGGAATAAAAATTTCTGACGTAGCATCCGTTAAGAAGGAATTAATTTACAATTGTAAAAAAAATTATCAAAATATAATGAGCGGTTCGCGAGAAACCCAACTTTGAAATTGGGACTAGTTTTTAGTGGCCGTTTTTTTTTGCCGGTGAGTTTATAATCAAAAACCTTTCTACCCGAAGGTGTAAGGTATCTATTATTATTATTATTATATAAAAAACAAAAAAATTAAAGTTGAAATATTTATATACAGCTTGCTAAAAAAATCAAGGAAATAGGGCTAAAAATAAAAAAAATATAACATTTTAAACTTGACCAAAAATTTTTCTGGTGCGTTTTTATGCCAAGTTGCCAGTTTAATTTTTCATTGCGTTTAAAATAATAGTAGGTTGGTTTTAATGTTGTAGATAGATTTTAACAGAGCATTCACTGTGATTTAATTTTTACAGTTACTCCGGCCAATCACTAGTGGTCAATGAGGTGTTTCCACCTATTTCACTTAAACTTGAATTAGTCTCTGAGGAAGATGAGGGCGCCACGAGTGACACAGAACTGACATATATATAAGTGCTATACATTTTCCAGTAATATTATTTTTAATAAAAAGAAACAACAGTCTGTGATTACCTAGGTGCCCTCTTGATTAGTATAGACAATTATATAGATGTATTTCTTATTTTAGTTTCATACATGTGTTTCACTATTCATATCTATCACTCTTGGAAATGTTGTTTATCATTAACTAACCAATAGCTGAAACACATTTGTGTTAATTTAACTGAAATTGTTTTAAAATAAACTATACGATACTTCTTGGCCAACTAGTGGTTCCATGACAGTAGCAGGTCTACCCTCTGCATAGTGAACCAAATCTATGGTAAGCAATGAAAAGGGAACTTTTAGAGTTAATTCTTTTGTATTCTTTTTCTAACTTACTATCAGCTTGTGAGTTATTGTTTATTTCATTTTAACCGATTGCAATTTTCATATACTATTCGCAGTATTATAAGGTCGCATTTTACATATTTACTGCATATTTTCAAAAATATTTAGAGCCTAATTCATTTAATTGAATAAGAAGGTACTATATAAGTGTAAATGATTACAGATCATTATTTCCAAGTATACAAAATCAAATAACAATGAATACACTCTATACATTGTACTCTCAGTTCTTTATATTTGCATGATTCTCTCTGGTAATTTACTCATTATTAATTGCATCATTACTAATTTGTTCGAAAACAAGATTGAATTTTGATTAGACTTATATAAAAAAATATTCAATTAATTAAGTAGCATAAACCTTTTAACCATTTTTTATACCATATGTATAAAACAATTATTTGATTGCGTTACTTTTATTAATATACAGGGTAGTCCGAACAAAAAAGTTCGTATAAATGTATGTCCTAAAATGCTTAGTTTCGGAGATACAGGGTGTAGAAGTTTCATTTTTATTTCGATTTGTTCCAAATAATTTATCAAGTAACGTCCATATTTCAATGAAAATTTGCGCATAGGGGTTTTTTGACATGAGGAATTTGATTTTCATGTCAACATGACTTTTTTTGGTAGGGGGCACCACCTACGTTTGTTTTAGCTGTTTTGAAGAGTAATAACTTTTCGTCCGTACCTGTATAAAACTACTGAGTAAACAAATATACATTTACGACGTTTTTTACGTAAAAAAGATCTCTTGGTAAAAGTCGCTACGAGTAATGGTTCTCGAGATATTTGGAGTCGAAATTATCAATATTTGTCATTGACATAAATTAAACATGTTGACTAGTTATTAGACTGAAATCATAAATTTGAAATGTTTTTGTGCCAAAAGTTCAACAAAAACTGTTTTATCATATCATTTTTTCGCAGAAAAATTTATGATTAATTTAAAAAAATAAAAATTTCCCAAATTTATTGTTTCAGTCATATAACTATCTACTCAACGTGTTTATTTTTTGTCAATAATGACATGTATTGACTATTTCCATTCTAAATATCTTGAGAACGGTTGCTCGTAGCGATTTTTACCAAGAGACATTTTTTACGTAAAAAATCACAAAAATGTATATTTTTTCACTCAGTTGTTTCATACAGATACAGACGAAAAGTTATTACACTTCAAAACAGTTAAAACACATGTAGGTGGCGCCCTCTACAAGTAGGAGTCATATTGACATCAAAATCAAATTTCTCATATCAAAAAAATCCCAGACACCAATTTTCATCCAAATATGGACGTTACTTCAAAAATTATTTAGAACAAATTCAAATAAAAATGAAACTTCTACACCCTGTATCTCCGAAACTAAGCATTTTAGGACATACATTTATACGAACTTTTTTACTTATTTTTATCTGTAGAATATGCTGCCGAAGTTTCCGGAATACAATTCGGACCACCCTGTATATTTTTCTTAGAAATAGATATTATTAGTTGAAAAATAGATGTGATTAAAAAAGTTTTGTCAGTGGTTTTGTTAAACTATCTCCAGATTGTTTTTATGGTCCAGGCCGCATAATGAACTATAGACTTTGAATAAAAAGATTAAGGGCAAGTAGTATACTGCTAACCATGTATTCATGTGTGGTAGACGGAGGTGGATCCTTGACAGTTCTGTTTGATTCACTTGACACATTTGAATTTGACTTAAATTTTTTGAAATTTCAAACTTTTTGTGGACTTGTCTGCCTTTAATGAATTTATTTTATGTTATTTATTATTTATTCTACAACTGCTAGTTGTTTAAAGGTAGTAAATCTAGAAGGATTTTTTTTGTAGCAGAACTTAAATTAATATGGCACGCTTGCGGTTTATCGAAAAAGACTATCAAACACTTGGTTGTGTAGCGTGCGGTAGATATCGGTCAAAAATCGAGTGAAATAATGGAATAACTTCACTAATAAGTGACTATACAGGGTGCTACAAATTCGAGGTACGAGCATTGCTATCTCGGAAACCGTAATAGATACGATACCGTTCACCAAGATGCCATCAAAAAAGTTTTAAAAATTTCAAGAATTGCTGAGTTTTTTGGAAAAAACGGATTTTTTTTAATATAAATTTTATTTTTTCCTGTCGTTACTTTTTAGAGAATCAAAAAACTAATTGCACATTTTCATAGCCACTTTATTAGGGCTATCTGATAGTATTTTTAGATTTTCAAATTAGCTGATAATTTTTGAGATACAGAGGCCAACTTATTTTTTTTAAATACGGACCTGCATTTTTTATTTCAGGGTTTGAAAGAAGTCGGTCTCCGGAGTACAATGATATGCCACACTTTATACTTTTTTTGTTTTGGGTACCTTAACAACAACAAAACTATTTAAAATAATTCCAAGTCCGACTCTGGTTTTTCAAATTATTTAATCTGATTATATTTATCGCAACTATTGATCAGCGCTAATTAACACTGAATAAGGAAAATCGAGACAATTGAAAGATTCAAATAAATAATATCCAGGTCAGCAATTTAAAGATATTATTTTTAACTTTTTTTATTATCAATTTGAAATCATCAACTTACAATACTACATGTTTGGAAGGGTTGCCTCTCTACCTATTGCACACATTTATTATTCGTTCAATTTTATTTATAGCTCTTTGAACATATCTTCTTATATTTCCGAATGCATTTTGTACTCCTTATTGTTAATGTTGAAAAATATTAATTTCACTTTTACAAATGACTTCAAGTAATGCCCCCCCCCTCGCGCTCCTTGGCGACATGTCCAGAAACTTCCCTGGCCATTATACTGCTCTACTATTTCTAATCCATCTTCCGGGAAAATGATTTGATTGTTTATATTATATTATATTTATATTATTTATTTTATATTATTTTTTATTTATTATTGCATTTGATTTTCCGTATTCAATGTTTTACGCCACGTCATTGTTAAGTTTGAAGGGTTATAAATATTGTAAGCATGAATAGATTAAATATTAAAAAAACACAGAGCCTGACTTGAAATTAGTTTAAATAAATTGTGTTTAAATGTACGAAACAAAAAAAATATTAAGTGTGGCATATCATTGTACTCGTACTCAGAAGACCGAGTTTTTTCAAAAATTGATATTAAAAATGCAATAAGTTGGGCTATGTATCTCACAAATTATCAGCTATCAGATAGCTCTAATAAAATGGCTATGAGAATGTGCAATTAGTTTTTTGATTTTCAAAAAAGTAACGACAAAAAAAAATTAAATTGATTTTCAAAAAAATCCGGTTTTTTCAAAAACTCAGCAATCCTTGAAATTCTTAAAACCTTTTTGATGGCATCTTGGTGAACATCTCAAAGTGCAACTTTGTCCCAATTTAGCCATGTTCGTATCTATTACGGTTACCGAGATACCAATGCTCGTACCTCGAATTTGTAGCACCCTGTATAATATACATACGTGTAGTAAATCGATCATTTATGAAATTCGCTTAAAATTAACTAATAATATATTTCTTCTTGCATTTTTACTTTTATTTACTACATAGATTTTACTACTTGTCAAAGAATTTAGTCAATTTGACTTACCTGCTTCAGTAGCGTATCGGATGTTTGTTATTAAACAATTATTATAACTTGTTTATTTTTATCAGAATTAACAACTAAAGAAATTTGTAGAACTGACCTGATTCCAAAGGTGTACAAATTATTAAAAGGGCTTATGCTACAAGCCAACCTTAGTTGATTCCGATACTTATATTACTTTTAATTTCAGTTACACCAACATGAGCGTCATAGTAGACCAGATGTTCCCTTCCCGCTTAGAACCAGCCAATGACTATTCCCAGTTTAGTTATTGGCGGGAACCGATAACCGTAATGGAAACCTTGCCAGAAGTAGCTTAGAAATATTCCGTAACATATACTATTTGCCGTTATTCTATCCACTAGCTTTACTCATCTTTAGGTACATATATGTAAAAGGGAAGTTATATCGATTTGCTAGTTAGTTTCCAAATTGAATGGTGAATTATGAAATGAACGAATTTTAGGATGATTTTTCTGAATAAGAAGACTGAATAGGTAATGATAAAAGAACAATCGGGAAAACATGTTATTTTTGGTATGATAAATATATTGTAACGTCTCTTTTATATACACCCTCAGTATTTATTCTATAATGCTCACTTCATATTAGCTTTTAATGTGGTCTGACATTTATATACCTGATAAAAGTAGTCGTTAAGGATATATGTTTAGATGTGATTTTCGATGAAAATCTTTCAGAATGTGTTTAAACGAATTCTAAAAGAATTTTTATTGACAAAGAATACATTTTCATCTTTAGTTTATCTAAAAAAATATTTAGCTGGGAAGCAGCTCAAAAAACTTATATAGAAAGTTGTGTTTAGGCAATTAACAGCATACATATAAAGACTGTTCAGTCATCGTTCAAGGTTACGTCATCATTATTTGTCAAATATGAGTTTTACGGTGTGTCCGAGATTAGTTCATATTGAAAATTTTAAGTACGTTCCTATAATATTGATTGAGCGATTTTTTTCGGCATTTATTATTTTTTTTGAACTCTTCATCACTTACGATCCCTTTAGTTCCAATCCTTTGGACTGTTGAAATTCTTATTGCTACAGCATCAGCAACTCGCTATATTATTTAAAAATGCTATCAATTTATATTTTACATAGGGAATATTACATTTTTGCATTGTACTTACTTCATATACGGCGTCCACGGGCAAGAGTGTTCTACCAGCGTCTCTTTCTCGAGAAATATAATTTATAAGCTTAGCAATGAGCTCTTGTTCATTTTGATTAAATCTTTGGGGCATTTTGGCAATAAAAAAAATTGAATTTTGTTTGACAGCAACAATTTGTAATTGATCGATGTCAAATCAAAGGACAATTACTAAAATGCCGTAATGACGTCACCAATCTCTTTCATCTGGTTGTCAAGTGATTGAGAGACAATTTCGACAATATATGACGTGACGTTGAACAATGGCTGAACATTGTATACAACTCTTTCTATTAAAACTTTTGTGATTGCATATGCGTAAATTTTAGTTAGGAACAAATTGCTAAATTCGCGATATTTAGGTCTTAGCACTTTTGTACACTCTTAGTCTCTCTTTATACTTTTTGCGTCAATACCTATATTTACAGTAAAATTATTTTTAATGTGATATGCATAATATGCATCCTAGATCATATAATATGATCTAAGGTATGTTTAACCATTGTTCTAGTTTTTAGTATGTCCATATTAAGCCATCACTCTATTTGTGTGCTCTATTTGTTGACAAATTTATGTTTAATTTACTGTAAAATATTTTTTCTGGGTTTGTTTTTCAAAGTTTATAACTAAATTTGGATATATTTGGTAGCTCTACTTCATTTACCTGTACCAAATATATCATTTGACTGCTGATACTAAAATGGAATTAAAAATAATTTAGTATGTCTTCTCTTGTCACTTTCCAATCTCTTGATTATAGCAAATTTGGCTGGGATCTCTGCTAATGAAATAAGTATATTTACAGTGATATATTTTATGTTTCTAGAAGGATTTTAAGTGTTTAACTCAACGATATCTTTTCTGATAATTCAGTAAGCATATTTTTGCCCTTTAATAACAAGACAGTTAAATAATGACAACTACAGTCTGTATTAGAATGTTTCTCAAAAATGGGAATAACTGTTGAACTCTTGATAAACATATGCGGAATCCATTGAACATGCCCAATAATACAGAAAAAATGCTAATATGTCTTTTATGTATTCAAAAGTACAGTTAGGTGACAAAATATCGCCATGAGTTTAGAATTGGCACATAATATGAATCTAAAAAGAGATATACCTTAAATAGGGCAATTTTTAGCATAATACAGGGTGAGTTAAATAAGTGCAAATATTTTTAGGGGTGGTTGTAACAAATTGGAATTTTTGAATTTGTAACAAAGTTGCATTTTTTCGTTAAAGAGCATATTGAATGGATCCTTCTTGTACTTTCTTTAGGTAATTCAATAATAAAATATCCCATTTATTGTGAACATTTTGGTACACACTGTAGGTATATTACAATATTAGATTTAATTATTTTACAAAGTTCCTCTTTCATTTAAGTCAAACCTGTATTAAAAAATGTTAAGTAATACTAATATAACCAGCAATTATTAATGAAATATTGGATGTAGAAGTGTAGAAATTGAAACTTAGCAGTTTTTAATTTCTATGGACACGAAAAGAAGTGTAGAAGAAGGGACAAAATGAAACGCTGTACGTGATATACTTTTGGTGATTTTATTTTTTAGATTACTTTGTTATATTTTTGTTAGCAATTCAAAATTTAGACATTAAATATAGTTTTTATTTGAATATGACCGTGTTTTTTTTTAATTCTTATTATTAATATAAATAAACTTAACCATTAACGCAAAATAAGTACTAATAATTTTAATTTAAAGCAGTTGATGTAAGCAGCGCTACACCGCGCTCATAGAAGCTATGCGGGTCTTGGCCCGGTGCTATGTTGAGGTCTACCGTGTAGAGTAACTCTGTTCTTGTGGAATTTAGGTAGATCGGTAGGGAGAGCTTGCTACCGGAAGGTTTTTCGTCTCCAGTTCTAGCCCAGCGCAGTAGGGTTATGGGTAGTTCCGACATTATACTGGATGTAAGAAGGAGCTGGTTGTTCTTACATTGGGCACCTTGTAGTTTCAGTCCTGGCAACAACAACAAAATTAAGTAAAACATATCTTCTACTTTCGTCAAACGGACTGTACAGGGTGTCCCACTAAGAATAGCTCTCGGCTGTATCTCGGAAAGTTTTAGCCGTAGGGCCTACGGAAAAAATTATTTATAACTAAAGGGGCTGTGAGAAATTCCTGGAAATTATTTTCAAGTTTGTAAACGGCCGCTAGAGGGCGCAACAGCTATGGAAAATAAGAAAATATAATTTTTACAGAATTTTGCCTAGATAATGGGTACTATAAATAATAGCGTTATAATCTTCAGTAAATTTTCGATTGTTTTTTTGTTAGAACCATTTTCCCCTATCTGCTAAAATAAAGTGGTGGGGGAAGGTTATATCTATCTCTATTTAAATGTTAATAACTCCGGACTGGATGATCGGAATTCAACAAACGAGGGCTCGTTTAAAACAGCGTTCCTAAATCTATATTATACCATAAAAATAATAATAAGCTTTTGAACGTAGACGCTAGGGGGCGCTGTCTTAAGGTGCGTATTCATTATCCGAACGAACGAACGAACGAATGAAAGTGCGGTATATTTAGACGGGGTCCGAACGCATGCGGCCGTTCGTTCGTTCGTTCGCTCGACCATCCGTTTCGAGTTGGTACATCAAAGGCGTTCGCCAACAAATGCCGCCGGTCTTCTCGTGCGGTCCTATCGTGCGGTCCCCGTCCATACCACATTCGTTCGTTCGTGCGGATAATGAATACGCACCTTTACAATTTAACGAACATTGCGCGTTTTTCCAAAAAAAAAATAAATACGATAGTATATGTAATTTTAGCTGATACTAAAGGGTAATAAAAGCTTAAAAAGTCAGCGAAAACCGCATCTTGATATCTTCTTTCAAACCGAAGATATTAGCAAAATTATAATAAATACCAAGAAATAAGCCCTTAATTACCTTATTTTTACAACACGGTATCAGTAGCCCTCTTGATTATGCCCATTCTAATAAAAAATAATCTAGAAACAGTTAGTTTATTTTAAAATCGACGATATACCAGAATACCATAATACCATCTTAATTATTAGATATTAATACCAGATGTATTAATATCTAATAATTAAGATAATAATAACAGTGAACAAGAAATGATGCCTCAGTGAAGTCATGGTAGGCTGTGGAGAAAAGTTGCTTTTGACGTAATAGTATAGCATCAAATTGTTATTATATCAACATTTTGATAGTCTTAGCAGCGCTTTTTCTTTTGAGTGCTTTTTCAAAATGCCTCTATTATTTGAAGCAGTTGAAGTTGTTGGCATTTTGAAAAAGCAATAAAAAAAATAAAAGACTTAAGACTATCAAAATGTCGATCTAATAACAATTTGACGTTTATACTATTGTCACAAGCAACTTTTTTCCAAAGCCTACCATGACTTCACCGAGGCATCTTGTTCACTGCTATTAATATCTTAATTATTAGATATTAATATATCTGGTATTATAGTATTCTGGTATATTGTCGAATTTAAAATAAATTAACTGTTTCTATCTTATTTTTTATTAGAATGGGCATAATCAAGAGAGCTACTGTTACCGTGTTGTAAAAATAAGGTAATCAAGGGCTTATTTTTTGGTATTTATTATAATTTTACGGTTTGAAAGAAGATATTAAGACGCGATTTTCGCTGACTTTTTAACCTTTTATTACTCTTTACTATCAGCTAAAACTACATATACTATTGTATCTAATTTTTTTGAAAGAAAACGCGCAATGTTTGTTAAATTGTAAGACAGCGACCCCTAGCGTCTACGTTCAAAAGCCTATTATTATTATTATTACGCTCTTTTAAACGAGCATTTGTTTGTTTGATTCTGATCATCCAGTCCGGAGTTATTAACATTTAAATATAGATATAACCTTCTCCCGCCACTTTATTTTAGCAGATAGAGGAAAATGGTTCTAATAAAAAAAAACAAAATTTACTGAAGATTATAGAGCTATTATTTATAGTACCCGTTATCTAGGCAAAATTCTGTAAAAATTATATTTTCTTATTTTCCATAGCTGTTGCGCCCTCTAGCGACCGTTTTACAAACTTGAAGATAATTTCCAACAATTTCTCACAGCTCCTTTAGTTATAAATATTTTTTTCCTTAGGCCCTACGGCTAATACTTTCCGAGATACAGCCGAGAGCTATTCTTAGTGGGACACCCTGTACAGTGTGTACTTGTAGCTTCCCTGATAAACAATGTGAACGAGAACGTGACAATAAAGGTCTTTTATTACCCTTGACTTCAGACAGAGAAGTAAGTTTGATTGATAAGCACATTATACCATTTTCAAAGTTAGTTTTTATTAAATTCTGTGATTATTAGTTTGTGCATTAATAGTACCCTCTTACTTGATATTACCACTTATGGCGTTGTAAGATGTACACCAATAAATAATAAATAAAATAAATAACCCCATAATAACGCTTAAAATAATCTTCATAATGGCCTAGTTTTTGCCAATATGTAATAAGTAAAATAAGCTATAAAACAAATAAATCAATTAATTACTAAAATATGGGTAAGGAAAAAAACCGACGTCACAAAACCGAGTTAAAAAATCGATGTTTATTATTGTCAAATTCCATGTTAAAGATGAATTTATTACTGTATGCGTTATTATTTGGACATCGTTTGATATATTCAGTTATTTAACACGTGTTTGTGACTTGGACTCAACAAATTAAGTTGATTATTTAAAAAATCCATAAAATAGACGTCGGCGGATATAAATTCCCCTTACACTTCATATATGGTCGTCTGTTAATTAACTTACCAACAATAGCAAAACAGTCATGCGGAATGCTAGATTTGTCATGGGAATCGGTGATAGTAACATCCAAATGAAGTTCCTCCAAGGACCAACTATTAGCCTGGGCTACGCATTGTCTAGTAGCCGTTATCCAGGCTTCGGGATTGAGAAGCCCGCCTAACCAAACTGGAAAACTCTAAAAAATAATCATCCGTAAATATCAGTTTTTCTAGATTGATTAATAATAATACGTTAAAAAAAATTGTGGGTTTTTCGCCACTAGAAATCTTTTTCGAAGAAATGAACCCGCCAGAAAGGTACAACCCTTTTTATAATATTACCTGTAGTTCCTTTGCTCCAGAACTGGAAACCACCTGGGATATTTGTTGAAGTTGCTTAACTCTATTGCTGAAGTCGGTAATCCACTGGATAACCGTGCACCCTTTGGGTACAGTGTACCTATGCCAGTTGGCCGGAATGATACCTCTGACGAGTTCTTCCAACAAAGTACGATGGTAGTTGGTTTGTTTTTTATCACCCTAAAAATAAAAGGCGATCATTAAATAAATCAGTACAGGGTGTCCCACTAAGAATAGCTCTCGGCTGTATCTCGGAAAGTGTTAGCCGTAGGGCATGCGGAAAAAAATATTTATAACTAAAGAGGCTATGAGAAATTGCTGGAAATTATTTTCAAGTTTGTAGAACGGCCGCTAGAGGGAGCAACTGCTATAAAAAATAAGAAAAAGAAGTTTTTACACAATTTTGCCTAGATAATGGGTACTATAAATAATAGCTTCACAATCTTCCGTAAATTTTGAATATTTTTTGTTAGTACCATTTTCCCCTATCTGCCAAAATAAAGTGGTGGGATAGGTTAGATCTATTTTTATTTAAATGTTAATAACTCCGGACTGGATGATCAGAATTTAACAAACGAGGGTTCGTTTGAAAGAGCGTTCCTTACTCTATATCATACCATAAAAATAATAAAAAGTTTTTTGAACATATACCATAGGGGGCGCTGTCTTACAATTTAAAAAACATTGCGCGTTTTTTTCAAAAAAAATTAACGCGATGGTATACGTAACTTTAGCTGATAGTAAAGAATAATAAAAGCTTAAAAAGTCAGTGAAAACCGCATCTTGATATCTTCTTTCAAACCGAAGATATTAGCAAAATTATATTAAATATAAGCCTTTAATTACCATATTTTTATAACACGGTATCACACAGTAGCCCTCCTGATTATGCCCATTATAATAAAAAATAAGTTTGGAAGATTAGATTATTTTAAAATCGACAATATACCAGAATACCTTAATACCAGATATATTAATATCTATTAATTAAGATGTTAATAACAGTGAACAAGAAACGATGCTCAGTGAAATCATAGTGGGCTTTGGAAAAAAGTTGCTTTTGACGTAATAGTATAAACGTCAAATTGTTATTAGATCAACATTTTCATAGTCTTAGCAGCGTTTTTTCTCTTTTGAAGAAAGGCATTTTTAGAATAGCAATCAAAAGATAAAAAAATGCTACTCAGACTATCAAAATGTTGATATAATATTTTGATGTTTAAACTATCCATTTGATGCTTATACTATTACGTCAAAAGCAACTTTTTTCCAAAGCCTACCATGATTCACTGAGGCGTCGTTTCTTGTCCACTGTCATTGATATCTTAATTGTTAGATATTAATACACCTAGTATTATGGTATCCTCGTACATTGTGGAATTTTTGAATAAAATAATCTTTTTTATCTTATTTTTTATTAGAATGATCATAATCAAGAGAGCTGGTGCTGGTGATATCGTGTTAGAAAAATAATTATGGGCTTATTATTTCGTATTTATTATAATTTTGCTAAAAACTTTGGTTTGAAAAAAGATATCAAGATGCGGTTTTCGCTGACTTTTTAAGTTTTTATTACTCTTTACTATCAACTAAAATTACATATACTATTGTATTTATTTTTTTGAAAAATCGCGCAATGTTTGTTAAATTGTAAGACAACAACCCCTAGCATCTACATTCAAAAGCTTATTCTTATTAACAGTTACTTAACTTTCTAAACTTAACAGTTCTTAAAAAACTCCTGAAAAAGGCCTAACAAGCCGAAACATATATGTAGAGTTAAAGTTACTCTTATTAAAAGTTTTTTGAAACATCTAAAAGCGTGCTTTATTAAAATACTAATTATTCTTATTGTTTATATGGTATAATTTAGAGTAAGAAACGCTCTTTTAAACGAGCCCCCGTTTGTTGGATTCCGTTGATCCAGTCCGGAGTTATTAATATTTAAATAAAAACAGATCTAACCTTCTCCCACCACTTTATCTTGGCAGATAGGGGAAAATGGTTCTAACAAAAAATATTCAATTTAACAATTTTTTTTTCAACAATTTGCTGAAGATTATGAAGCTATTATTTATAGTACCCGTTATCTAGACAAGATTTTGTAAAAACTTCTTTTTCTTATTTTTTAGAGCAGTTGCGCCCTTTAGCGGCCGTTCTACAAACTTGAACATAATTTCCATCAATTTCTCATAGTCTTTTTAGTTATAAATATTTTTTTCCGCAGATCCTACGACTAATACTTTCCAAGATACAGCCGAGAGCTATTCTTAGTGGGACACCCTGTACATATACTACAAATAGTCTGTATTTACTTGGCAAATTAAAAGAACGTCATTCAAATCGTGAATGACATCTATTAATAGTTTAGACGCAGAATTCACTTCGCGCTCAAAGTATCTGTAGAGAGGATCCTTAATATTTTCGACGGTCCTTTTTAGCGTGTGTAAAGATTTTGGAAATGAACCCGTCAGAAAGGTACAACCCTTTTTATAATATTACCTGTAGTTCCTTTGCTCCAGAACTGGAAACCACCTGGGATATTTGTTGAAGTTGCTTAACTCTATTGCTGAAGTCGGTAATCCACTGGATAACCGTGCACCCTTTGGGTACAGTGTACCTATGCCAGTTAGCCGGAATGATACCTCTGACGAGTTCTTCCAACAAAGTACGATGGTAGTTGGTTTGTTTTTTATCACCCTAAAAATAAAAGGCGATCATTAAATAAATCGATACACACAGGGTGGCGCCTCTCATACGCCGCGGAGGCTCCAAGCAGAACGGCAGTTTGTATTGAAATGAAATTTTGTAAGCATATGTATGTAGGTTAATTTAGAGCATTTTTTAAAAATATAGTAAGTTCTACCGGGTGTCCCCAAAAAAAGTTACGCATCAAAGTTGGGTTTTTTATAATGGAACACACCCTATGTATTAATTTATTTTCTGATTCTAGGAGAAAAATAAGGGCGAGTTTCATAAGAGAAGCATATGACTAAAATGCAAGATTTTTGACATATTTAACATTTTCTAAAAATGAAGAACATATTTTAAATCTCAATAAAAGCTACCTAAATTGGAATTTACCCGGTATAGCCTAATATAATCTTTTATTTAACTATTTTAGTTTAAATCAAATTAAAACTTGACCCAAAAAGTTATACAGGGTGAGGCAAAATTAATATTGAACATTGGTTACCTTTAAAAGCATGTTACACTTTTATTTTAACACACAGTATATTATTTCGATATTCAATGGAGAATTCATGTCTTCTTCAAAATACTATTAAGGTTGCCTACCCCTCAAACAAAGATTTTCCTAGATATTTTCATTTACATGATTTAATTTGAGTAGATCTTTAATATTTGATAAAATCTAGGTGGCCGGTGATATGTGTGACGTTACTTCTACATAGCTGTCTAATTAGTCCAATTTAACAACTAGTTATCATTTTGTGTCAGTTAAAACAAGAACATTTCTCAGAAATTTGCCGAAAATGCAAACTTATCCTACATCAGAGAAAATTGATATGCTTCTATTAGTTGGTGAATGCAGTATATTTAAATGGTCCTGATTTTATCTAGTCTGTTTTTTATGGGTATATGTTAAAGACAGGTATTTACAAAACTCGACCAACTATTGTCGACAATATGAGAGAAATTATTGTAGCTGCTTTTCGAGGTAGAACTCCACATATATATGCCTTTCAAAATGAAAAGATCTTTTGAAAAAACAATCATTTTATGCAGTTAACAGGAAAGGAAGCATTTTGAGCATTTGATTTCATCTAGGTAATTTTTGTCACATAACTATATGATTATATCTAGTTTTAATTCTGTAATAATTAAAATATGTTTTAAACGTGTATCTTTCTATTACCGTTGAGTATTTTACTGTACATCCTTTTTTAACGTTTTTTTAATTTAATTTTTTGTTAAATTAATAAAGGTATATCACAGCCTCCCCTAGATTTTTTCAAATAATAATGATCTACTGACGCAAAATCATGAAAATAAAAATATATAGGAAAATCTTTGTTTGAGGGGTAGGTAACCTTAATAATATTTTGAAGATATATAAATTCACCATTGAACACCGGAATAATATACTAGGTTCCATTTAAAATAAAGGAGTAACTTGCTTTTAAAAGTGACTAATGTTCCAATTAATTTTGTCTCGCCCTGTATAACTTTACGAGTCAAATTTCAATTTGGTTTAACATACAATGGTTACTGTAATTAAATATCAGGCTATACAAGGTCAACTAAAATTTAGGTAGCTGTTATCGAAATTTAAAATTTACTCTACACTTTCACAAAATATGAAATATGTCAAAATCCTTAGATTTTAAGTATATGCTTCTTTAATAAAACTCACCTTTATTTTTTTCCTAGAATCCGAAAATCGATTAATATATGGGGTGTTCTTTTAGAAAAAACACAACTTTGATGTGTATCTTTTTTTGGGGACACCCTGTATAATTCTATATATTTTTATAAAATGCTTTCAGTTAACCTACATATGCTGCCAAAATTTCATTTCGATATAAACTACCGTTCTCCTTGGAGCTTCCGCGCCGTATGAGAGGCGCCACCCTATATACTACAAATAGTCTGTATTTACTTGGCAAATTAAAAGAACGTCATTCAAATCGTGAATGACATCTATTAATAGTTTAGACGCAGAATTCACTTCGCGCTCAAAGTATCTGTAGAGAGGATCCTTAATATTTTCGACGGTCCTTTTTAGCGTGTGTAAAGATTTTGGTAAAAGTTGGAGCCATGTCAGGGCAGAGTTATGTAAGGTTTTCATCCACGACGGCCTACCATCAATTTGAGCCTTGGGATCGGTTGGTGAAGATTCGTCCATCTAAAACGGTAAGTAATGGTTGTAAATAAATATCAATAATTTTACTATAGGAATTAGGAGTACTTCAAATAACACTAATTTTTAAGTAATGTCATATAGGATGTGTTGGCACATCCTGTATTAGAATTATTTTTTGACAATACTATATATTTCTTACAATTATATTTCTCTCTTTCTATCTATTTGAAAAAAACTATTATTCACGCGTAAAAAACTATTTCTTACGTGTAAAAAACTATCATTTTCCCTTCTTACCGAATATGCAAGCTCATCATCGTCTTCTAACTGCTGCATTTTAAGCAATTTACCAATCAGATCAGTACCTCTTGTTGTCAACAGCACTTTTTCAGCATTATTTGGTAGTCCGAGCCATGCAGGAGTTTGCCTATCCGCTAGACTTTCAATCCATTTTAAGAAATGATCGCTAGAATTGCAATAACATAATATATAAAAAGGTTCAAAGTTAATAATAACTCCCCGTACCGTCTGGTTCCATCTGGCATAGTAATGTGTCTAGTACCGTTAGGTCCATTATCAATGTTAGCAACCAGAGCAAAATCAGCTTCAAAACTTTTGAAAGTGAAGAGTTTGTTAAGGAATGATTGCAGAAGTCGTTGATCGAAACCGTTGTCGATTTTTCCACCATAGATAGATTGAGAAAGAAGAGTAACCAAAGCATCCCATGGCACTTTTTCTGGTGGCAAATTTGTTCTTCCCTGAAAAAAAAATCAAATATTTAAATCATTATTTACCGTGCTGGCAACTTTTACTTTTGGGTCGGTATTTACATGTGTGGAAGTAAATCGCATAGGGATCTTATTAAGACGGAGCGAGAGAAATGCGACGGTGGGCTGTTGCGGCGTTGCCACATTTCTCCGGTTCTTCTATCAAGTAAAATAAAATCACGATCGCAAATCGCTTATTTTTAAAAGACTTTTATTTTCGAAAAGATAACTAGATAAAATCATTAGATATGTTTCTGAGTATCTGAAATGGAGTTATAAGGATATCGTTAGGGTGTCCATTTTTTTATACGGAGAAAACGTCAGTAATCGCAATAATTTAAAAACTCAACTTTTTAACACATAACACGCGATAACTCTAGAACTACTTTAGATACTTTTAGTGCATTGTAATTTTCAGCAATCGTGTAACTTTTTTATTTATAAAGATTTTCACATACTGTCTGCGAAGAAAATATAGCAGAAATATTAAGAAAGTTTTTGAAAAAACTACAATCAATTATTTCTAATGAATTTCGAGATATCGATTTTTGAATTCACAGTTTTAATAGCGCCGACCACTGTCGAACACCAACTCAATTCCACTTATTTTTACCAAAAGCGCAAGTGTTTCTAACTGACACTTAAAAATTTACAAGCAATAGGGAAAATTACGAATCGTAATAAATAAACAAATAAAGTATCACGAGACGTAATTAAATCGTGAAACTGAACACATGATGTACATTCTTTCTAAGAATTTTAAGTACTAATATGGTACTGATTGGGTCGACCGCGACCGAATCTGCTATATCCCCTTCCACGTCTCTTAGCAATGTGCACAGTTTCTCGGTTTATTTCATACATTTGGCAACGTTTTTACTGTTCTCTCTTTGTTCAGTACATTATAAACGCATTGTACTCTTCTTACATACGGAAATCTCGACCAAAGACTAATCTTTGCCAGCCCTTATTATATCCTAGTTTTAGGTCTACAGTCGCTTATTTTAAACGTTAATAAATTTATTAAGTATAAAAAAAACATACCATTGCCGTAGCATCAATCCAAGTGTCAAGAGTATCACAGGCAACCCTCAGATCAGATTCACTAAATTCGTAATACTTAGCCCATCCCAACGGACAGTATCTCAGTCTTTCTTGAACAATTGCATGGAACCAAGCGAGCAGGAAGTACAGCCTTGCTCTTTCGTTGGGAGCTTTCATCATTCTGCTTGCTGGTACCTAAATAAAACACAAAATAAATATTTCATTGCCATAAAAAAGCTCCAAGCGCTACTTACTGTGCTAAATGTTCTTAATAAGTTAGCTCTGATGCCTGGCGGAGGCTCAAATACAAATATTCTTCCGGCTCGTAACAGGTTGACAGGAAGTTTAGGGTTAATTTCCATAGTTAGGAATAACCTAAAGTTGGCGTGAGGTTGAAGAGAATGTAGTTTCTTTTCCAGTTGAACTAACCACTGTGGTGCCAGGTGTACGTTTTTAAGTATAACCCATCTACAAAACAAAGTTGCAGCATAAACTTTTTCGAACTTAGAACTATTGCTGTAAAATACCTTCCAGTTTTGCAGGCCATGTTAATAGCTCTATCTGCTTGATTAAATCCTTCCGCAGAACCAATAGCAATGCTGGATATTTGCTTGTTGAGTTCAGTAGCTAAGTCGTCTACTCTACCTGAGGCATCAAATCCAGGTACTGAGCATAGGAGAACCGGAACACTAGCTGGAAGTTAAAAAATATATTAAATAAGAAACATATTTGTATTAAGGCGCATTCTCACGACTGGTGTACTTGACAAACATTTGTTATTGGAATATACTTGCCATGTCGTGAGAACGGTTTCCTTGGTCACTCGTCCCGTCCCCACTCTCTGTCGGTAAACATAGTCCGAGTCAAAGGATCACATTAATTATTCCTACACTTGCCAAGTGTACTTGGCCAGCTTGGTCTATACTTGCCGAGCAAATAATTGAACTGTTATAGAGTATGTCCCGTTTATTTTCGGATCGTAGTGTTTTTCGAGTCAATTGCTGATAATTTAAAACGTTAAACAATTATAGATTATATACTATCAAATTTACATTAATAACTTCAATATTGGCGACATACCTTAATCGTTCTCACAGCAATAAATGGAGTGGACAAATGAAGACTACACGGGAAAAACCAGATTTGTCACATTTTCATAGAAATTAAGATAGCGATACAACTTTATAGACAAATTTTAACGTCATTCAAGAAAAAAGAAAGCAATAATACGCTTAGTCCCAGAGATATTACAGCTTGGTTATTTTGCCGTACAAAGGAAAACCCAGAGCAATCCACGCGTAAATGGCAAAAACCAGAGATGTACTTACGCATGGGCGACAAGCATGCATCTTGCAATTAGTATTATAATATGTTATCAATTTATGTATTGTAATAAAAACCTACTTATATAAATATTAATTTTCTTCCTGCAACAAAAAAATAATAGTTTAGATTTAGGTTGTATAAAACCTTTAATTGGACATCCCTGGTTTTCCCCTGTTTTGTTTTGCATTTTGACATTTTTATTTCGGTATTTCAGAATATGGCGATAATTCACAATATTAATAATTCAGAATTGGTAGTAATATATATTTTTCTAATTATTCAATCAAAAATAACATATTTCTTTAAAAACACTTAATTGAATTTTTCTCGGCTCCATTTAAAATGGACAAAACTGGGGTTTCCCGTGTAGTCTTCAAATGATGTTGTTTAGGAATTTATGGATTTATACGAAAATGAGCCCTTCATATGGATGGCCAAACATAAAGAAGATAGAAATCGTATTGCAGTGTACCGTAAAAGAACTTAAAAAGAAAAAAAGAATCACTAGCAACGACAATTTCGGGACGACCTGTATCCATCGATGCGACTATACTGTTTACTTGCCAAGGATTTAAACAATGTTTGTGCTGGCGTACTTGTTGAAATGGACACGTCGTGTGAGCGCCACACTTGCCGATGTTGTTTACAAAGTGGGGACTGGTGGAGATACGTGCCAAGTACGCAAATATTGGTATACTTGCCAAGTAGACGAGTCGTGAGAGTGCACCTTTATATGAAGAATTTCCAAAAGATTGAAATAACAAGAATTCTGAAATACATGCCTTTAATTTCTTTCTCCACGATAACACCTAAATCAATCTCCTTCTCGGCAGATGCTAGATAGTCTTGTCCCATAACACTAGAAACAAAGAGTGTAGCTGCAGCTATGACTCTGTCCGGTCTGAAAGCTTGAATAACGAGTAGCTGGTACATTGCTGTACCAATCGGACTTAATTGCTTCTCTTCTATCCACAAACCAGGCACGGCTTGCTCGGGTGTGCTCTGTTGAAGCCAAGCACCGAACTCGGGCATTTCTTTGATCTTTTCAGGAAGTTTCTTAAAAGCTGGCAATCTAGGAAAAAGTATATTTTATGTTATCTGTTACGTAAAAGCAATTGATTGATGAAAATACCTTGTTGATAGTCTTGTCAGCGCTTCTTGTTGTTCGCTGTTTAGTCCGTCCACAATAGGCCCAGTGGATGAACTCAAAAGACCTTCCTTCGCCCTCAAGAAGAAATTGAATTCTTGATCGTAATTAGGTTCGTTAGGAAGACCTTTCAGGAAAATTCTACTCAGAAGAATTGCAAACGTCAATCTGTCGTTGTGTATCATTCCCCGTGCTATCCTTTCATATACAACTTGGAATAAGTCAGTAGTTATTATAGTCAATCTTTGTTGATAGTCGGAAGTGCCATCTAATTTTGGATTGCTCAACAATACACTGTTGAACATATCCAAAAAGAACTGCAGGGAATATTGGTATAAGAAATGGACTTGGTTAAGACTATCCATCGTGAAATACGTGTTGCTGCAAGCTTGCGACAACGGTAAGTACTGCTGAGAAACTGCCTCGATTTCTGATATGACCTTGTCAGTTTCTTCGACTTTCTGCCCGATTTCTGCGGCTTCTTTTTTCAAAGTTTCCAGAGTTGTTATCACGCTATCATCGTCCAGGATCTTGCCTTTAGCATCATTCAAGGCTTGTAGTAGGGATTTCTCCAACTGCCTCAACCTCAAATGGAATTCGCCTTGAAGTTTAAGCAAATCAGAACGCTTAGCATCGATGTCGGGCCTCTCGGCTTTTAGTACTTGATTCAAACACTGGCTCTGTAAAGAACTTCTTGTAACGGTGAAGTTGACGAAAGTAACCCTCGAGCATATGTCCGGTGGGAATTCAACAGTGGGATCACGAGTAGATAAGAAAATAATAAACGACGGAGACAAATCAATGTCTTGATCGCCAAGGGTTATTAAAACTCGACCTCCTGTTCGTCGCAGTTCTCTGTTTAGAACTGGGTTCAATATAGCGTCGTAGTTTTCAACGTCTTGAACTAAAAGTGGGTTTCCAAAACGTAGGGCTGATTCGAGATTCTTCCTGAAGGAATCATCCAAGAAACTCGTCTTTGTTATTTTCTTATCTTTATATTCGTTCATAATGAAGTCAGTTGCCTGGCCTGAAGGATCGATTATAAGTGGGTACCTGTTGAATCTCTTCAACATGATGGCATTTTCAGTACATAGGTCATCTGAGGGTAGCGCATTAGCTTGCCATCTTAATCTTTCATCCGGATTAGACAGGTATTCGGTTCTGGCAATGTCGGGCCTGTATTGAATAGAAGCCTGAGTTAAATGCTGGCACCACGCCATGAACAGATTTTGCCGGTAGTGCTGATCGAAGTAACCACCATAAGCGATAAAGGCTGCAGATAAAAGCACGTCACCTACGATAGTTGACATTTGGGCTCTAAAAGTTTCGCTCGTGGCTTCCCATCTTTCTCGTTCAATAACCAACGACTTCAATAACGCAATGGAACGGTCAACTTTAGCCTGTACGTTCTCCAAGTCGGTCTTGATAGCTTGAGCCTGGGCAATCAGCTGTGCGTATTCATCTTTGTAGGATGCGATACTGTGTTCCAGTTGGCTGATTAGATTCTTGACTTCCTCTCCACGCTTTTTGTTTGTTTCGGCTTGGGTTTCGAGAGAGCTAAGTTCTTGACGTAAGGGTTCGACCTTCTTCAACATGTCAGCGTATTGAATTTGGGCCATGGCCCACTTGACAAGAGGACCGCAAGCGTTACTGGCATGATTTACTTTTTCGAAGTTGTAGTCTGGATTGCTGAGGTACTTCGACTTCATCTTGTCGCGAACGTCGTCACTAAAATAATATTTTTAATTAATGAATTTTGATATAAATAATTTATTAAAGATAAAGTGTTAAATTGGATGCCTATATACACCGAAATATTAGCTAAATATATACAAATATAGAATGTTCAGCCATCGTTCAAAGTTACGTCATATATTTTTTTTTGTCGCACTCTCTCAATCACTTGTCAACCAGATGCAATAGATTAGTGACGTCGTTACGGCATTTCGTAAATTACTTATTCATTTTAGTAATTGTCATTGTCTTGATTTGGGGTTATAATTTTATTGACGGACATCGATCAATGTCAAAATTAAAATTTGATTGTTGCTGTAAAACAAATTTCAATGTTTTTTATTGCAAAAATACCTCAAAGATTTAACCAAAATGAACAAGCGCTCATTGCTATGCTTATATTTTTTTTTTTGAGAAAGAGGCGCTGGTAGAACACTCTTGGCCCGTGGACGTCGTATATGAAGTAAGTACCGGGTGACCAACTAAGAATGGACGCCGTCTGTATCTCAGAAACTACTTATCATACAACTTTGGGAAACAAATTCTAATAAGTAAATCGACCAAGAGAAATCGCTGGAAATTATTTTCAAGTTCGAAAAATGTCCGCTAGGGGGCGTTTCTCTGATAGCCAATCAGAAAACAGGGTTTTTCTCAAAAATATGCAGGTGAACAGGTATTTTAAATATTACTATTGTAATCATCGAGAAATTTGTAATTTTTTTGATAGAAGGTTAAACTAGCTTTTATTAAAATAAGGATAACTCTGGTTTAGGTTAACCGATTTAAACAAACTAGGGCTCGTTTAAAAGACCTTTTCTTCCCTAATGATATCCAGTATAAATTTTGTTTCCATAATTTTTTTCGTGGTAGCTAGAGGGCGCTGTTTGACATCATAACAGGTATTGCGCTTTTGCATAAAAAAATTAAAGAGGAGGCTATATTTCTCTTTGCGCAGTTAAATAGAGCACAACATTTCCAAAATATCAGCGCAAATTAACTTTCTATCTTCTCTCTAACCGGAGATATTAAGAGAAAAAATCATGTTAGGCTGCCGCTTAGGATTATATGGTCTAAAAATTAGAGTAGTAGGCTAGGAAACAAAAAGAGGTAAACTGGCTACATCAAAATATCAAAACATATATTTTAATTTCATTTTAATACCATTTAATTGTTATTTATCCATGTTCGTTCTTGATTCGACCCCATAAATTAAAACCCAGGCATATTGAATCCGATCACCTAGCTGAATCCGATCACATGGAAATATGCCGCTCCAGCGTCTCTATCTACTAAAGTAAGTCGTATCCAAGAAGCCCAACACATTCATAGCAGAAAAAGCGACCAAGCTGCACCAATTGCATCATCTACACTCTACACCAACTGCATTCATGCTGATGAAATTGCAATAAATGCAATTTCATCATGATGGATCCCCTAACAAAATTGGCAATTCATCTCTTAGAAATTATGGATAGTTCATTTCATTCAGATAATTAAAAAAGTCTAATCATTCGCCATACTAGAATTCCTGCCTAAACATGTACCGACCAACGGTCTTGGTGCTGAACTACTTGCAGTCAAGGTAGATTTGGACCAGTAGTGCATATTGTTAAGATTCGCACCTTCGGGTCTATATGAAAAGTGACTCAAACCGCATAAACTTTATAATATAATAATAAACAACACAAACAACACGTAAAACACGAAAACTAGTGAAATCAAAGATGAACTTGGATTAATAGCTAAATGACATTACATGAAATGAACCCTTAGTTTACGGCCACACGAAATTTGTTATTGTTAAAAGCAATATGACGGCACAAAATTCCTAGAAATTTTAACAAAATTATTAATTGTCCGAGTTTTGGACATTTTCATCTGAGAACTACCTACGTATAATTAACCAAGAAATTCATTAAAATTATGTGGATGGACGGATAATGTTACATAAACACGTTTAAAAATGTATGACTATTTTTTTTAAGAAAACGCTCGAAATTCGAATGCATGAAAACTAAACTTAAACGTTTTGACGCAACCAATTTATCTTTTTTTGTTTCCTAGCCTACTACTATATTTTTTAGACCAATATAATCCTAAGCGGCAGCCTAACATGATTTGTTCTCTTAATATCTCCGGTTAGAGACAAGATAGAAAGTTGCGGTTTGCGCTGATATTTTGGAAATTTTGTGCTCTACTTAACTGTGTAAAGAAAAACATAGCCTCCTATTTAATTTTTTTAAGCAAAAGCGCAATATCTATTATGATGTCAAACAGCGCCCTCTAGCTACCACGAAAAAAAATATGGAAACGAAATTTATACAGGATATCATTAAGGAAGAAAGCTCTTTTAAACGGGCCCTAGTATGTTTAAATCGGTTAACCTAAACCAGAGTTATTCTTATTTTAATAAAAGCTAGTTTAACCCCCCCCCCACTTTATTTTATGAGATAGAGCAAAACACTCTATATAAAAAAAATTACAAGTTTCTCGATGATTTCAATAGTAATATTAAAAATACCTATTCCCCTGCATATTTTTGAGAAAAACCCTGTTTTCTGATTGGCTATCAGAGAAACGCCTCCTAGCGGACATTTTTCGAACTTGAAAATAATTTCTGGCAATTTTTCTTGGTCGATTTACTCATTAGAATTTTTTTCCCAAAGTTATACGATAAGTAGTTTCTGAGATACAGCCGGCGTCCATTCTTAGTTGGCCACCCGGTATAATGCAAAGATGTAATATTTTGTCCTTATGGGCACTTTCCAATCTAAACTTGTTTCATTTATCTATGTTCGATAATATGTATATGACGTGACGTTGAACCTTCGTTGAAGGCTGAACATTCTATTATAAAGAGGAGAGGAAAGGTAGTACTAAAAGCGAATGCAACCTACTGGAAATCCATGCACCTACCTAATGTCCTCCGTGTTGAAATTGTTGACGACCGTGTTGATGAAATTGTCGCGCATAATCACCGATCGAATGGACTTCCAATCGCTGGCGTTCTCGCCCAGCAAAAGGCAAATGGATTCGAGAGCGAGCTTTACGATGGCCGGCGGGTTCGACATAGAACGGATTTCGACGAGCTGTTGCTTTTTGATGGACTTTACGGCTGTGTACGAGGAAAACATAAAACAAAAGAGAAAAATAAGCAAAATAATATGGAAGCGGGAGATGCGGAACTTACGCCTAAACGGGCAATACATTCAGATAAAGAATTGCACCAAAGTAATAAGGTAGAATTGTAAATTAATTGCATTTTCAAGTGAAACTTCTTTACGCGCTGGGAGTAAAGTGGTAAGCCAACAAATAAAACATATATTTGATATCAATTAAACTTTTAGTTACGTAATTGAGGGCGTGATTTTTAATTTCATTTTTGCCAACGATGAACTTATTCGGCGCCGGGCTGACTAACTGGAATTTAAATTTCGCGCTACGGATTCAGGTGGTAGCTCTGCTGTAAAAAATGTCAAATTGCCACATTTATTTATTTATTTCCTGACATTGTCCGTCGTTCGTTCTGACAATTAGTTTCGTATTAAGACGATTGGTTTAAATAAATAGTGTTGTGATACTTTAAGCTTAAAAACGTTTAGTAGCAGACCTTGTAGTCGAACATTGTTCTTTTGAGAACCTCTTTTAGTGCGAAGTGTACAGGGTGGGTCAAATTCGACGCTTTTAAATGGAAACACCCTTTTCTATAGGAGATAGACGAAAACTAATATCGGTGTCTGGAGCTTAATTTTTGTCAAAAACACCGCATATCGATATCTGTTACCGTTTCGGAGTTACGGGGTGTTTTTCAAAAATATGCATTTTTAACAAATCGCTGTAACTTTTTTGCTATGGAAAATTTTGTTTTTTTATGAAAACATTTCCAAAGCACCTTTTTACATAGAATTTAATGGTTTAAGTATAATTTTTTTAAAATTAAAAATTTAAGAATTATCAACAGAAAATTTGATTTTTTATATGGAACACCCTGTATATTTTTAATTTATTGAAAAGAATTTAAAATTACCTTTCCAAAAATATAGCACACTTGATATTTCGTTATAATCCCATTCGAAATACAGAATTTTTAACATTTCGCCACTTTTAACTAGTAGGCTTTGGACCCCTTATTGATGATATGCCCTTAATGGAACTCAAAAACATTATATTTCCAGCAAGAAGACGCACCGCCTCTGAACGCTGAAGTTATCAGCAAATTTTTGCAGCTAATTTCAAGAATAATTGAATAGCTAACCAACATTCCAACCGTTGGCCGTCGAGGCCGCCTGACTTAGTGCCAATGGATCTAATCCTATGGATATATTTGCGGAAGAATAAAGGTTCCTTATTCTTCCATATAATCTAGACAAAAAATAAAAATACTTAGCAGTTATGAGTGGGTATCTTTCATCCCCACCGAGTTAATGAATTCCGCGAGAAATGTTCAAAAACTGACCCGTCTGTCCATAACAGAAGACGGTCGATATGTCGAACACCTGTAGCAAAATCTCATGTCTTGGTTTGCTATTTATTTTTATTGTTATTAGATATAGTTTAAATGTGTTGATGTTGGTTAAATATATTTTAAATTGTTATAAAATTCTGCATCTCTAATAGCAAATATTATTTTCGTTTTAATTGATTCTCATATCTAGAATTTTTTTGCATTACAGCCGGTGCCGTTCAAAGCCTACTTATTTAAAGAGGGCGAATTTTTATATACTCTATATCTCGAAGAGGAATTGAGCAAAATATCAAGTGTGTTATATTTTTGGAAAGCTAATTTTAAATTCTTTTCAATAAATTAAAAATATACAGGGTGTCCCATATAAAAAATCAAATTTTCTGTTGATAATTCTTAAATTTTTAATTTTAAAAAAATTATACTTAAACCATTAAATTCTACGTAAAAAGGTGCTTTGGAAATGTTTCAATAAAAAAACAACATTTTCCATAGCAAAAAAGTTAGAGCGATTTGTTAAAAATGCATATTTTTGAAAAACACCCCGTAACTCCGAAACGGTAACAGATATCGATATGCGGTGTTTTTGACAAAAATTAAGCTCCAGACACCGATATTAGTTTTTGTCTATCTCCTATAGAAAAGGGTGTTTCCATTTAAAAGCGTCGAATTTGACCCACCCTGTACAAGATAGCTTAATAGTCGTAAAAAACTGATCGCAACTTTCGAATCGAATATTTTAAACGGGGAAGCGGCAGTAATGGACCTTTATGTCCCTTAAGTGCTTTTGTTTCCTGAAATATTTTGATTAAAAGAAAATATATAAAAGTGGACAACGCTGTGCCGGTCAAGCTTAATCACGTGACTAAAAGTTGTAACTTGTATTTGTGTTTATTTCAAAAACTCTTTAAAATATAAGTGCAATTTTTTATCCGTATGTATTACTTAACTTATTAAATACAAAATGATTGAAATTAGTGTAACTGTGAAGTATTTCCTTTACCCAATTTCAAACATTTACTAATAAGAATATATAAACAAAGCTAATATACAGAAAAGTCCACAGACTTCGAGACATAGGAAAATCAAGTCCATTTAGCGTGTGTCCAAATTCTACAAGTTTTCAAAAATGACAGTTTTGTTTAGACTGGCGATCAATTTCACCTGACCTCTCGGTGAATGATTTCTTTTTATAGGGGTACATAAAATTTAAAATTTACGGCCATGAAGAAATTCAAAACTTGGAGCAGTTAAGGCAGAAAATCTTTAATGCCTTTGACACTGTCGCCCCTGATATGTTATCAAATGTGAGGAGAGGGGATTTTATGATCGTTCGGGGTATTGTTTAATGCAAGAGGGAGGCATTTTTGAACAATTTTTGTTAATTTTTTAAATTTCATTATCCTGTTTTTTTACCGATTACCCATTACTTTATGTAGTTCGTTACAATTAGAGTTTTAGATTTTATTGTAGTTCGTTAAAATTAGAGTTTTACTTTCACTTTTAAATTCATACTAGGTGTTATTTTTTTAAGATTGCATATAGATTTGTTATATTTTGCATTGTACTTTTATTGTTGATTTGTGCTTATGTTAGCTTCATTTATTATGAATGTTCTGAATTTTTTAGTGTACACAATTGTCTTTAATTTGGGATTTCCTGTTGACAATAAACTATTATTTATTTATTTATTACCTACCCTGACGAACATGGGAAAACAAAGGTTCTTTTCAGGACCACAAATATTTTGATTGAGAAATTTTTTACTTTTATTTATTTTGGAATAAAAAAACAAAAGTTGTTAATATAATATCAATTTAAAAGTGTTTTAGTAGTTTTAAAACACACTATGATATATTATTCGAAATGTTATGAAGGTCCAATTGCACCAATGATTTAAGTTTTTCTTAAAGATAAGTAGAGCTGAGAATGAGCTGTATTTACATTTACTTTAATATTCACCTTAAATGAGAGAATTTGACTGATACAATTTTTGAATTTGAATTGTTTTTAATGATACTAACAATTTTAGTTCAATTTTTACTAAAATTTATTTAATATTAATAGAAATCCAAGAGATTTGAAACCTCTTTTAGCGATTTATAACATTCTCAAATGAATTACAGGTTATTTTCCATGAAAATCTAAACCACACAGCTTTTTTCATAGTCGCTACAGTTGCTATAGCTATAAAAAGCTATTTTTTAAGGTGTGAAAATTGCGACACAGGCTAAATGGACTTGATTTTTCCTATGTCTCGAAGTCTGTGGACCTTTCTGTATACAAATTTTACTATACAGGCTTATTCACCTAATTCGACTCGGAGTATTGTAGCCACACGATTAGTTTTTCAGAAATTTTGAGTGATGTGATCGTTGGAAGCCTACTAAAGCTACAATTTTATTTGGTTTTAAAAACTTAAATATGCTTAGAGAAATGAAGCATTAAAATTGTTACTGTGCTGTACTAAATTGTTGCTTCATTTAAACAAAATTGTAAATATTTCAAAAACGACAAGATTAAAATGCGGTAAACCTTAATCAAATTTACCTTTATTTTAACCGTAGAAAGTAAAAATGTAATCATAATATACAATTTAAGAAAATACAACTTCGATATTTTTTATTTATTTGGGATACTTTTGAAAATAATTTCAAATTGTAGCTTTAGTAGTTCTCCAACGCTCCCATCACACACAATTTCTAAAAATCTAATCATTTTTCTACAGTACCCCGTGTCGAATGAGGTGAATAACCCTGTAATAAATTATCACTGACAGTAAAAGCTAATCCAATGCGTGAAGTACCTAAAATTACAGTTCGATAGACAGTAGCTATAAAAATAACATGCCACAGATCAGGCGGCATAGGTGTGTGTATGTATATTATGTATTTTGCGACCCATGGCGTGTCCTTACGTTAAGTAATCGATCTTGAAATTGACGATGGTGGCGATAAAGTTGTCCCGCATTATTACAGATCGAATCGAGCGCCACTCGTTGGCGTTTTCGTGAAGCAAAAGACAGACGGCCTCCAGCGCCATCTTCACCGTGGCCGGCGGATTCGACATAGATCGCACTTCGACCAGATGCTGCTTCTTTATAGACTTAACCGCTAAAGAAATGATTATCAGTAACGCTTATTGTAACCCTGCGATCATAATAAAATATAGTTTGCATAAAAAACTGATTCAAATTTTAGGCCAGTCAAATAGAGGGGTCACTTGGAAGAAAGTGTTGAAACGCTAATTATTGATTTGATTGGTTTATTTGACGTGAAAGAGAGGTTTTCTAGCTTTCCGGGAGTCCCGGAAAACTATTAAAATTATTGTGCATTGAAGTTTGACGATGAATATATTTTAAACGGTTAATTTAATCGATCAATGATAAGAAACCATTTTTGTAGAGCAGTGAATTTCCTACAAAACCATGAGTTGCGAGTATCATGATTTTTTGTTAACGAGTTATAAAATTCATAAGAAAAAAGAAATCTGCCTTAAAATAATCAAACTTCAACCTTTAATAACTTTCGAACGGTACCGTTTACAAAAAATTGTAAGAGACCTTTTTTATAGAGAATTCAATTTCCTACAAATATATTAGACGATATATTTTTCCGGACAGTAGATACCGAGAAATGAATTTTTCTTTCTAATAATAAGGAAAAAATAGAAAACTGAAAGGCGGAGAAGCTTCCTATTAAAATTAAGAGCTCATACTTGGAGAGAATTTTTTTGAGGCGTCTAACCTTTTTTCTAGAGTATAAAGTGAAAAAAAATAGTCAATTTTTTTGATCCACCCTAGTATACAATCATTCAAATCTGTTTAGTAGAATAGCTAAAATCGAATGTTGAAGACTGGTGATATTTACCCACTTAATGCTAAAAATGCATTAAAATGCCATTGAAATGTCCATATCATTCTAGTTAGAAAAAATGGAACTGAAATTATAAACCATGGCATAAGTTACATTTTAAATTTGATCAACACCTTTAACGAAAATACCGACCTTTATGCACTTTTTTACGCAAAAACATAAAATTACTTCTTAACGCATAATAGCCGCATAATGAGCCATTTTTGGGCGCATAAAAGCCGCATAATATAACAAAATTTGTTCCCATAAAATCGGGGGTGTAAAATGCATAATCTGCACATCTCTATAAATATATTGTTTGTCACTTTTAAATTAAGATTCATCTCATAAATCCATCACAACCTGGCTGTCGCCATCGCTTGTCACTCAAACTTGATCACGTGCATCGGAAATTGTTTTGCGATTACCATAGATATTAATTGCGTGTTTTCATTCTGTGGAAAACCTGACCTTCAAGGCACCAAGGTTTACATTTTTGTATTAAAGACAGTTAATACATAGTAATTTTAATGTTGAACCAAAAATATGATGTTATCAGATGTTATTACAAATCAAAAACTTACCAGTTTGAGCATCAATTACAGCCGGTTCCACTTGTGCTAAATCCGCCATGACTTCTGTACGCTTCTGTTCAATGTGGACAGTTTGCTCAGCCAGTTGTTGCTGAATTTCTTGACTCTGTACTTTCTTCTTCTCGGCCTCTTGCTGGTCTTTCACCATCTGCTTCAATTTCGCATTGGCAGCTTCGTTCTTTGCCTGCAGTTCCTGAGATTTTACCGCGAGGCTCTTTTGCATTTCTTCGACCTGGAAGAACAAAAAAAGTAAAATCTATTTTTATTACTTGTTAATTATATTAGTGAACCTGTTCCACGGTTTCTGCAATTTTGTTCAGACCAACGTTCAGATGTAGCTGCTGTTCTTCCAAATCTGATCTTTTCTCGTTGTGTAATTTGACAAAATGATGGATAAAGTCTAGATAGTGTCTTGGAGTAATAGCCATTGTACGTCCACCTAAAAAATGTATTATATTAAAACAATTTAATTATGTTAGTATTTCATCTAAATTATGTCCTTAAATATAAACTATACCAATTAAACTTTTAGTTACGTAATCTAGGGCGCGATTTTTAAATTTATTGTTGCCAACAATGGACATATTCGGCTCCGGTCTGACTAACTGGAATTTAAATTTCCCGCTGGGAATTCAGGTGGTAGCTCTGCTGTAAAAAATGTCAAATTGCCACATTTATTTATTTATTTCCTGACATTATTTATTTATTTCCTGTCATTTTGACACTGTAGTTTTGTATTACGAGTTGTTGGTTTAAATAAATTTTGTTATGATACTTTAAGCTTAAACATTTTTACTAACAGACCTTGTATTCGAACATTGTTCTTTTTAGGACCTATTTTAGTGCGAAGTGTACAAGATAGCTTAATAGCCGTTGCAAAAAACTCATCGCAATTTAGAATAATTTGAACGGGAAAGCGGTAGTAATGGCCCTTTATGTCCCTTAAGTGCTGTTAAGGAGGTGAATTTTGTTGATGTAAATAATAACTGTTTATATATTTATAATTAATTTATTTTTGTTTCGTAAAATATTTTGATTAAAAGAAAATATGTAAAAGTAGGCAACGCTGTACCGGTCAAGCTTAATCACGTGGCTAAAAAATTATTTGGTATGATCTATATACAGGGTGTCCCAGAAATAAGTGCAAGTATTTTAACTGGTAGTATAGTTCAACCCCAGAAACACGCCTATGAGGTTTTTTTTGCGAAAAAAAAATGTTTAAAATTTTTCTTGACATTTTCCGGGAAATTTGAAAAAACTTTTTAAAACAGATAAACATGAAAGGAAACAAACAAAACAAAAATGAATTGATTATTCGTCGGGCTGTTTTCGATATATTGAATTCTGAATTACGATAAATATTTTAGAAATTTCTTTTTTGTGACCTTATCAATAATCAATTCATTTGTGTTTTGGGTTACCGTGTTTTGTTTGAATCATTGATTCACAAAACACCTTGAAAAGCACACCTTACTTTGAATACCTTTCTGAATGAATAAATGTTGAGAATTATTGTCTCTTACTGCCACTTTCCGAACTACTTTCAATCTAAGAAAATACATGTTTCACTCAACAATTTTAAGTACGTATTTTGTTTTTTTGCTATTTTTTCTATGTATTTCAACAATTCCATCGACAGCCCAATCGTCGCGTCGGCCGCCGGCCAAGAGAGCGGCGCATCACTGGGAACTGCTCCTTTATCGCGCCGCCGTGTCGAGCTTGCGTCATGCGAGGTTGCCGTAGTTTCAACAATTTCAAATTCAAGACACTCGAAGCAATCAAATTCTTATTAAATTTTAAAAATAAAACAGAAAAACATGAAAGGAAACAAACAAAACACAAATGAATTGGTTATTGATAAGGTCACAAAAAAGAAATTTCTAAAATGTTTATCGTAATTCAGAATTTAATACATCGAAAACAGCCCGACGAATAATCAATTCATTTTTGTTTTGTTTATTTCCTTTCACGTTTTTCTGTTTAATTTTTAAAAATTAATAAGAATATAATTGCTTCGAATGTCTTGAATTTGAAATTGTTGTAAATACGGCAACGTTGCTTAACATCGTTGTATGACGCAAACCCGTCACGACGGCGTGGCGCCTCAAAGCTCAAAGAACCAGTTGACACACGGCACTTTTGGCCGACGGTTGGGCTGTCGATGAAATTGTCGAAATACATCGAAAAAATAGCGAAAAAACAAAATACGTATTTAAAATTGTTGAGTGAAACATGTATTTTCTTAGATTGAAAGTAGTTCGTAAAGTGGCGGTAAGAGACAAAAAATCTCAACATTTATTCATTCAGAAATTTATTCAAAGCTGTGCGCTTTTCAAGGTGTTTTGTAAATCAGTGGTTCAAATTGCGATGAAGTCTAGATGAAAATAATGTGTTAAAAATGGGGACTGTTATTTTAGCAGTTATTATAATAGCATGTACAAGTAAAGCACCACAGTGAAGTGTATTTTAGTTAAGGGTGTATCGAAAAATAGAACTGTCACAGTTACTTCGATCTGTCATAAGTATCTTTTTTAATGTTGGGTAAGTTTATTAATTTAACTTTTAATTTATTTTATGTAATAATATCTTAAAAATGTAATGCATCTCTGCAAACTCCTCAGGTGTTGTGATTTTATGACTTTTAAACATATATTTTCTTGTCCATATGGCAACACAGTAGCGATATTTGCCAGCGGTTCTCAAAATGTTGCGATTATTTTTTTAAATTTTCAAAGTTAAATAACTCGGTTATTTTCAATTTATTTTAGAAATGGTAAAGAGAAAATATGTTTCTTTTGACCATATCTACCACTCCTTAAAATATTTGCACTCATTTCTGGAACACTGTATTAATAGCCATCATTGCAAATATACCGCGTTAAGCAAATTTAAAACTTTAAGTTTATCAATGTTATTTACATTTAGGCTAAATTTTCAATTCACAACACAACCTACCTCTTTTAGCTAGTCTAACATTGGCTTTGTGTAGCGTCTGGTGGACATATACACAAGCATTGATAACTGCTTCTCTGTGATTTGGAGAGGTTGGAACAAACTTGCACGCGGCAGGGAAAAAGTCAGGCGATTTCCAAGTTGGTCTATCGAGATCTAAACGGTAAGTAAACTCTTTTCCAACCTAAAAGTAATTTTAAAAAATTTAGGGTTATAATAAAGCAAAAAAATAATAACTTCGTACTTGGAACAAAGCTCCATCAGACCAATCTCCGAACCAATTCAAGACGCATCTGTTGAACAATGCAGGGGAGGTGGCAGCTCTATCCTTGAGACCATCGGTAGATGGATTCATAGTAAAGACAACGTGTAAATTGCGCATTACTTGTTGGGTGAACCACTTGTAGAGTTCGTCGCTTGAATCTAACATCAAACCTAGAAGGAATTATAAAAATATGAATATAACTTAAAATTAAAAAAAAAATATTCTTATATGCTTTAATAAAAATATGAATAGGGTACCTTCTCGCTGAGCTCCTTCCTTGCACTGTGTCATCAATGTTGTGTATTCATCGCCCTCAAACAAGCCGGGAACTTCCCCATTGGCTAATAATGTGTTCATTCTCTCCAAGAAGCTGGAATCCAGCATGTTAGATTCGTCCAAAATAAAAGCGATTTTTTCATCTTTGCACCCAGATCGTCTCAATACTGATCTTAAATCTTCATCAAAATCTTCAGCCGTGTATTTATTATGAACCTGTAGACATAATTATTAAAATTAAATAAATTATTACATTTTATTTTCAAGTCATTTTAATTTTATTGGCTTAATGAAAAATAGTAATATCATTATTAATGTTTAATTTAAAAAAAGTGCAAATATTGCAAATACAGGGTGGTTCAAACTGTATTCCGGAAACTTATTCTGCAGATAAAAATAAGTATAAAAGTTCGTATAAATGTATGTTCTAAAATGCTTTGTTTCGGAGATACAGGGTGTAGAAGTTTCATTTTTATTTTTCCAAATCATTTCTGAATTAACGTCAATATATGGATGAAAATTGGCGTCTGGGAGTTTTTTGACATAAGAAATTTGATTTTCATGTCAATTTGACTCCTATTTGTAGGAAACGCCATCTACATATGTTTTAACTGTCTTGAAGAGTAATAAATTTTCGTCCGTACCTGTATAAAACTATTGGGTAAAAAAATATACATTTCCGTTATTTTTTACGTAAAAAATATTCCTTGGTAAAAATCGCTACCAGCAATCGTACTCAAGATATTTAGAATGGAAATACGGGCATCGGGTAATTTTTTCAAAAAAAATAGTACTAGGTGTTAAATGGTGTTAGATAGAAGAAAGTTGCAAGAGACAATTTTTCTTGGAAATAAATCGAGTAAATAAAAAAACTCCGAAATTTTTATTTTTATCAGTGGCGTACTATTTTTTTTTGAAAATATTACTCGATGCGTATCACAGCTACGCTACTGGTTGAAATTAAAACCTGCTCTTTACATTTAAAGTGTATCTGTTAGGCAGACTCCTATAATAAAAGTTTATAACGATACCTTCAACTGTTAAAAAACTATTAAAGAATATCTTTAATTTTTCAAAACCTTTAACGCCTTGTATCTTGCGTAAGAGGCATTTCCGACCCATAGTGTGCTATATCAAAATTAATATTTCGACGTCCCCTATCATTCTTCGAAAGCATGACCGACTTACAGGAATCACCCTGTATATCCCAACAGTATTTCAACAACACAAATTTTTCGAAAAAAAGAGTCGCAGTCGTCGCGAAAGGGTTAAAAGTAAACCTAAATATGTTAAAATATTCATCTACAAGCACAACTACACCCATACCTTAATTTGGAAGATAGATAATCCATTCATCCAGGCAACAAATCGAGACAACGTCGTTTTACCAGCACCGGAAACACCGATCAGTAACAAATGCCCTTGAGGTTGCCTAAATATCCTGTCAATCCTCAAAACGTGATCCAGCACTTCGTCGAAAAGTACCAGAGGCACGTCCAGTTCCTCTTCGTAGAACACCTTTAGCCTGGCTTTAACGTATTCCCTAAGCTTCTCCCTCTCCACGGGCGTGTAGTCCTTCGAAAGCCAGTTGCTGTAAAGAATTGGCCTTTCCAGTGCCCTTTCGCAATTCGCCGAAGGGAAGTGTTTCAGGGCGACCGAGTCGATGTTCTCGTTGGTCCATTGCCTTTCAGAATCTTCGACTAGTCTGTCTTGGAAGAGACGCAAAGCCTCGTGGGCCCAGAGTCTTACCAGACCTTCTACACTTAAGCTATCCAGTGGTCTGTAAAAAATGAATTAAAAAGTTACAATACCGTCTCAGATAGAACTAGTTCCTCCAGAGGAATAGTTCCTTGAACTAGGTCTTCAGTTCACAATAGTTCCCGACTAACATCGACATCCCCGGTGCTTCCTAATGGGTTTCGTTGTCAGTCACAGTATGATCTGTATAATTTTCATAATGTACGAAATATAACGAGACGTGTAATTGTGTATGTTAAAAACATATAGGTAAGTTTTATTGCAGATAAAAAAAATTAAAAAGAAACTCAAATCAGAGTTTAAAAAACTATATCACAAATTAATTGGAGCAAATATTACGAACATTTTTCCTCACTTGAAGCTTTTTGTTTTTGTCTAAAAATTCAGAATATCTACTTCGTTTTATAAGATATTTCTTAATTTTAGGGACCTAAAGTGAAACATTCCCATAAAATATTTAAAGAACAAACTAAAAATTAAAAACAGTATCCACGACAATTTTCTGTGGTAATTTCGCCGGCTGTGGCAATAGACAAGGCCGAATCCATCGTCGTCGTCTTGTATTATATCTCGGATCTGCCGACTGAATAGATTCCCGTGAACTAGTCTTTTAATTAGTTCCTCTAGGTCCGGATCCGATAACATACGGCTGGCACTCCCCACTCCTGCCTAGCATCGATCGCGCTGGCTCATCCGTACGTAAACTAGTCTTTTATTTAGTTCCTCTAGGTTCGGATTCGATAACATACGGTTGGCACTCCCCACTCCTGCCTAGCATCGGGCTACGCGCGCTTGCCGATCCGTCGCCGTCGCCTATTATTATATATCGGTCACACTCTCTATTCCGGAATAGGTCCTGAGGAACTAGTTCTTTGAGAAACCATAAACTAGTTCCTTTCAATCCGGGGTCGGAATAGTTCATTGGAACTAGTTCGTTCACGAACTACACACCTCTAGTGTGTGCACTATGTGCGCACATTTGAAGTGAAACTTCTTACTAACAGCTATTAAATTGAAGGATATATATTTTTATATGAATGCTTTTTATAAACTTCAAAAAATAGAGAGAAAACCGTATATTATTCTAGCTTTATAATTTTATGTTTTCTTTATTTTTATTAAACATTTCATAGAAATTATGATAGCGACACAACTTTATAGGCAAATGTTACCGTTATTCGAGACACCATCAAAGAAAGCAATATACGCAGACCCATAGATGTTACAGCTTAGTTATTTTGCCATACAAGGGAAAAACGAGAGTAGACCACGCGTAATTGCATTTTTCTCTGATAGAAAAATATGTTATCGATATATTAAAGACAGCCCCTTACTAGTTCGGTGACAGAATGACCCGTGGCCCATTGCTAACGTTATGTTGGTAATCTTTGAATAAGAAGACTAAGGAAGGAGCATATCAAAAATCTTAGGTACACCGCGATGGGCCTCAAATATGGCCGACTTAAATTCCGGTTTATCAGTGTCGTTCTAATTTTATTTAAAAAATGTAAAACTATGATGTAGGGTAGACGTGGGGTAGACTCAATAATTTGTTGTTTTATTTTACGATGTGAAGAAATGTTGGTAGTTATTAAAATTGTTATAAAAATATATAATTCTAATAAAAATAGATAAGTTATAATAAGTATTTATTAACACAAACATCCGATACGCTACTGAAGCAGGTAAGTCAAATTAACGTATCTAAATTCTTTGACATCTAATCTTTGACAAGTAATAAATAAAAGCTAAAATGCAAGAAAAATATAATTTAGTTAATTTAAGTGAATTTCATAAATGATCGGTTTACTACACGTATGTACATTATATAGTCACTTACTAGCGAAAAGTTGTTCCATTATTTCACTCAATTTTTGCCGAGATCTACCGCACGCTACACAACCAACTATTTTAGAGTCTTTTTCGATAAATCACGATAGTGTCACTGTTAATTTAAGTTCTGCCACAATTTCCATCTAGATTTACTACCTTTATACAACTATCAGTAGTAGAATAAATAATAAATAACATAAAATAAGCTCCGTAAAGACTGACAAATCCACAAAATTTCAAATCAAATTCAAATGTGTCAAATTAATCGTCAAACAGAACTGTCAAGGATCCCCACCCTAGAGTGCTTTTTCCGCCCACCATGCATGAATACATGGATAGCATTATGCTCCTTCCTTAGTCTTCTTATTCAAAGTTGGTAATGAATGACCTAACCTCAAATCAAGAATCGTGATTTTTTTAATCCTGGATATTAAAGATTTATTGAAATCCTTGGAAACTGGGTATACCCATTACTATTCTTGATAGAAAAAGTGCATTTTTGATTATCTACTTGGGCTAGGATATTAAAATATTGGTTAAAATATGGTTGGATTGTAGGACATAAATAGACGTAAGTATGGATATTTGTATAGATATTTATAAAGCTTACTATCTGTTTTGCATTTTTAGTTTTTGATGAGACAATAGATTTTATTTGTGGAATGCCCACAAAAGATCTATCAACGATTCAACAATAGTGTCTTTACTGCATAATGGGTCATTCCTACTGATTTTTAGACCATTTGATTGAATCAATTTAGTGTTCTTACCTATTATCGTTCAAATCAATGTTAATAGATAATAAATATATTTGATTTTTATCTTTTCTTTTTAAATATATTTTTGGAACTGCTGGTTTTAGTAATTATTAAATTAAACGAACTAAAAAACAATTCTCAACCATAACCTGTGCCACAACCCTATAAAATAATCAAAATAAGGCATATCTCCTGTCAACGATTACTTCTTTGATCTGACGCTTCGAATGACCTTCGCGTCATGACGAGGTCATACCGTCTCGCAGCCGTCAATCAAGGTCGACTCGCGGCTTTCAATTTTTACTCCCATCCCGCGTAAAGAAGTTCCACTTCAAAAAAAAATAGAGACAATAAAAGTCCGAAATTATTTTACTTTCAATACTGAATCACTGTCAAACCACATTCAAAAAAAAATATTACATATTAAAATTGAAAAAAAAATTACCTTATAGCCTCACATATTCCACGTACCCATCTGGTCATCTCACGAGGCGAGTACACGTAATGCGGTTGCATATCTTGAGTGAATCTGTCCTGGGAGGCCAAATAAAACTCAACCATAGCGTTTGTCAATGGTTCGGCGTAACCTTTTAATCCCGGAGTGAGACGCAGCATAGCCCTTGTAAATGTGCCGTAGATTTGTTTCAGCGAAGTTTCTCCAGGATAATCGACGTAAATTACTGGAACATGTCGAAGGAATCTAGAAAAAAAAATGTATTAAAAAGTTGTATATACGAAATACTAAAGAATACAAGATACGAAATAATACGAACTTCCGCTAGCCATGGCCTTAATAGACTTTCAGAAGGCTCTCGACTCCATATATCCTAAGGCAGTAAAAGAAGCCCTAGCAAAATAAAGGTATTTACAGGCATTATGTAGAAACTCTCGCCATTATATACAAAAGAGTACGACAGGGAGACGCCATATCCCCAAAGCTGTTTACAGCAACACTAGAAGAAATCTTCCGTCAACTGGACTGGACCAGCAAAAGATTAAAAATAGATGGAGAATATCTTAACCATCTAAGATTCGCTGATGACATAGTCCTGAACAACCACAAGCACAAATTAACAAACTAAATACAGCCAGCAATAAAGTAGGTCTCAAAATGAATTTAGCAAAAACTAAAGTAATGTATAACGAACTAGTAGACAGAAAAGACATTCTAATATATAACAGAACACTGGAAATAGTAGAAGGATATATACAGGGTGTCCCAGAAATAAGTGCAAATATTTTAACTGGTAGTATAGTTCAACCCCAGAAACACGCCTATGAGGGTTTTTTTGCGAAAAAAAAATGTTGAAAATTAAAATTTTTCTTGACATTTTCCGGGAAATTTGAAAAAACTTTTTAGTACTAGTTGTTTATTCACCTGAGATTTCCCTACGGTGTATCTAAACCTTGCAGTGTTGCAACCTCCTATGTTATCCACATTCTACATAGTTCGGCGAAACATAGTTCTACATTTATAAATTCATAGACAAATTTCTACTCAAAAAATTAGGAATGTTAAATTTAATCTTTTATCAGTGCTCATTATTAATAATTATAGAAAAAAAAACACAGTAATTATTTTTAGTACTTACCCTTTCAATGAAAACTTAACAAAAACCACCGAAAATTAACTAAAACATTACGTTTATGACGTTTACGAAAATCTTTGTTATGCTGCAAAATAACTTTATTTTGGAATAAATTTAATAAAATGATTCATATTATTCACAATCAGGTCACAAAAAGAAATTCCTAAAATGTTTATCGTAATTTAGAATTCAATTCAAGAAAATTAGAAACAGCCCAACGAATAATCGATTCATTTTGTTTTGTTTTGTTTTCTTTCATGTTTCTCTGTTTTATTTGAACCACTGTTTTACAAAACACCTTGAAAAGCGTACATTACTTTGAATACCTTTCTGAATGAATAAATGTTGAGAATTATTGTCTCTTATCGCCACTTTACGAACTACTTTCAATCTAAGAAAATACATGTTTCACTCAACAATTATTGACAACGTATTTTGTTTTTTCGCTATTTTTTCGATGTATTTCGACAATTCCATCGACAGCCTAACCGGTCGTTCTTCTCTGGCCTAACCGTCAGCCAAGAACCGCCGCCATACCGCCGCGTGTGAACTGGTCCTTTGAGTCGCCAGTCGCCGCGCCGTGCCGTCGTGGCGGGTTTGCGTCAGACGACGATGTTAAGCAACGTTGCCGTAGTTACAACAATTTCAAATTCAAGACATTCGAAGCAATCAAATTCGTATTAAATTTTAAAAATAAGACAGAGAAACATGAAAGGAAATAAACAAAACAAAAATGAATTGATTATTTGTCGGGCTGATTTCGATGTATTGAATTCTGAATTACGATAAACATTTTAGAAATTTCTTTTTTGTGACCTTATCAATAACCAATTCATTTGTGTTTTGTTTGTTTCCTTTCATGTTTTTCTGTTTTATTTTTAAAATTTAATAAGAATTTGATTGCTTCGAGTGTCTTGAATTTGAAATTGTTGAAACTACGGCAACCTCGCATGACGCAAGCTCGACGCGGCGGCGCGACGAAGGAGCAGTTACCAGTGATCAGTGATGCGCCGCTCTCTTGGCCGGCGGCCGACGCGACGATTGGGCTGTCGATGGAATTGAAATACATAGAAAAAATAGCGAAAAAACAAAATACGTATTTAAAATTGTTGAGTGAAACATGTATTTTCTTAGATTGAAAGTAGTTCGGAAAGTGGCGGTAAGAGACAATAATTCTCAACATTTATTCATTCAGAAAGGTATTCAAAGTAATGTGTGCTTTTCAAGGTGTTTTGTAAATCAGTGATTCAAATTGTGATGACCTATATGAAAATAATGTGTTAAAATGGGGACTCTTATTTTAGTAGTTATTATAATAACTACAGCATGTACAAGTAAAGCAGCACAGTGAAGTGTATTTTAGTTAAGTGTATATCGAAAAAGAGAACTGTCACAGTTACATCGATCTGTCATAAGTATCTTTTTTAATGTTGGGTAAGATTTTTAATTTAACTTTTTAACACATTATTAAACATTTAACTTTTAATTTATTTTATGTAATAATATCACAATCTTAAAAATGTAATGCATCTCTGCAAACTCCTCAGGTGTTGTGATTTTATGACTTACTTTTAACATATACTTTCTTGTCCCTATGGCAACATAGTGCGTCGAATTAACTGAAATCCGGGCTTGATCCGGGTAATTGGATGTAGTTGGCGATATCTGCCGGCGGTTCTCAAAATGTTGCGATTATTTGTTTAAATTTTCAAAGATAAATAACTCGGTTATTTTCAATTTATTTTAAAAATGGCAAAGAGAAAATATGTTTATTTTGACCAGATCTACCACCCCTTAAAATATCTGCACTCATTTCTGGGACACCCTGTATATTTGGGACAATTAATACACAGTTCGATCTCCAGTACCAGAAATCAATAGAAGAATTAAGTTAGCATGGAGTACTTATGGAAGAAACTCAATCAGATTCAAATCTAGAATACCACTTTACCTAAAGAAGAAAACATTCGACCAATGTGTACTACCAATCATAACCTACGCATGCGAAACCTGCACACTTAAAACGGACATTATAAGGAAACTGCAGTCGTACAACGGTCATTTGAACGAAATATGCTGGGAATAACCAAGAAAGACCGTAAAAGCATTGAGCGGATACAACAAAAGACCCAGGTAATAGATGTGAACGGACGGACAACAGATGAACCACAAAAATTACAGGATCATAATACAATTTGTAATAAAATTTCGATGAAATATCATAATCTTATAATTTATGCATTGTTTTTCACATACCTGTGGGAAAGTGGTTTCCTTCCTGGATCAGTAGGTGGGTTACAAGCCCCCACAAACTGGATGCGTTCTAAAGACACCCAAGTTTGATCGCTGGCTCTGTAGAATCCTTTCTGTTCGACTATTTGACGCAAGAACATTATAACGCGCTGGGTACCGTAATTGTCCATGTCCGGTAAATTAATTTCGTCGCAGAATAGTACCAACCATTTACCAAGCTATTGATGAAATACAGATAACATAAATTGTAATAAGCACATACTAAAATATAAAGAATTCTAGTATTTACCTGTACTGGTGATAGAACAACTCCGTTAGGTGTTTTTCTGTACTCGCAGTAGTGATCAAAGGTTTTAAGCAAAAGTTCGGGAGTTGTGGCCGACGAGAAATTGAGACCAACTACTTCCATGTCAGGCAGAGCTCTTAAAGCCGAGAATAATGTCATGGTTTTGCCTGAACCGGGTGGACCACATAATACTGAAATAAAAAATAAATCAATTTTAGATCTGTAAGTACTTAAATAATTAATATTTATCAGTAAAAAAATAGTTTTTTTGTACAGTGAGAAATATCTAGAATCTGATTTGAGACGATGATGATCGCAGAATATTATAAATATTAATAAATATAATAATTATAATAAATATTATAATTATTCCAAAAAATACATATAAGCAATACCAATTGAGGAGCAGACTGACGTCCCATACCAATCTATTTATTTTACTAAAAAAAAGTTTCTAATAATTTTTAAGTTATCTATGGATGGGTTTAAATATAAATCCGTCATACGTCGTGTCTTGTTGTTTTTAACCAGTTTTATTGGTTTATTTAAAATGACAGATCGTATTTCAATTTTATTGGTTTGACGGAACGATGAACGACAAACGGACGCCGATGCGTATGAACTCGCCTTTAGATTTTTGTCATTTTTGACGCTTGTCAAAGTCTTGCGAAATTATAGGTTAGAATTTTGTGCCAACTTTTGTTAAATACCCTGCGTTTTGGAAGATGATGCATGTTGATTCGTATTATTACGTGTGTTTTGTGTCTTCTTCAAGTGGAGGAAAAATCGAGTGAAAATTAACTGTAGACCCAGAGCACAGTTTATGGTTTATACAGAAAGTTTTATACACCAATGAAGTTGCCATCGATAAAGTTTGTATACCATTTCGTCGTAGATAAGTGCATCTCGTATATGGTAGAAGGATCAAACTAAACACATACAAAAAACTGGAGTAGCTGTAAAATATCGACATCACACGATAGGTAAATAATGGATTTTAGTACTGCAGAAAAATAATGTCAAAAGGTACTGGTTTAAAAAAATTAAGATTAAAGTTAATTAATCAACCTTTAAGGTATAAAATTTGGTAGGTGTTATTATTAATAAAATAGTTTGTTTTATTTACCTATGTTGTTTTATTTATTCCTGTGGAATATTACAAATTTGTATTTGTACATAAGTTATATTGATAAATATAATCATAAATGCGGGTAGTTTCATAAAGCTTGAAAGTAAATAATAGTTCTTTTTTATATTTTTTTGGTATGTAGTGTCTTGTTCTTGTTTGTTTTGTATTTACACATACCGTTTTTATTAAATAAAATAACTCGATTACATTTTTTCAGTTTTATACAGTTTTTTTCACAATATTTTGAAGTAATCACTTGTCACCTTGTCAATCAAATTTTAAATATATCCTGCAATGCGTTCCAGTTGTACCAACTTATTTCTTTGTAAAATAAAATAAACTACTTTGAAATTAAAATGACAGGCACATCTATCACTGTCAAGGATCTTCTCGTTGGACAGACTATAATTATAATAAATATTATAATTATTCCAAAAAATACATATAAGCAATACCAATTGAGGAGTCGACTTTCTAGATGCATTTTGTTAATTTTTCCGAATTTTGGCAAACAAGGAAAAACTGCCACGCTTTTTGCAAGAAACTTACCGAAAAACTAGTATACTTGAAAAATGGATGAAAAATCATAAAAATAGTTATCTATGTACATGTGAAAAATCTAGTTTTGATGATCTGAAAAAATTGAAAACAACTGTTGACTGTCCTTTAGAGGTGAAATTTTTCTTTATTTTTCTGCTACCACGGTTCATATTTCCAACTACATGGTTGTCAATCGTAGTTCCATTCATTATTTTAAGTAGTATTATTCAAAAAATAAAGAAGTTGTAGTACAAAAAAAAACTCTTCATCTGGCAATGACAAACAGCAGTATGCCTACAGCACACAAGGACATACTTCTGTTTGTTTACCGCCAATGATTCAGTTGGTAGCTCTGCTGAAAAAAATGTCAAGTTACCACATTTATTTATTTATTTCTTGACATTGTCATTCGTTTTCACACTTTAGTTTTGTATTACGAGTTTTTGGTTTAAATAAATTGTGTTGTGATACTTTAAACCTAACATTTTTTACTAGCAGATCTTGCAGTCAAGCGTTGTTCTTTTTAGAACCCCTTTTAGTGCGAAGGGTACAAGGTAGCTTAATAGCCGTTGCAAAAAACTCATCACAGCCTTATTACCAGGGTTCGGAAAACTACATGTTACTTTTAAAAACTACATTAACCACATTACATGTAGTTAATGTAGTTTATGTAGAGGGTGTAGTTTATGTAACCTATGTATGTAACTTTCAAATATCAAAGGTTTGAGGTGAGGTTATAATAAGTTGAATCTATAAAAACACATAATGTATTTAAGAAAACAGAAGAAATATGGCTTTAAATATAATATTTACATCATATTATCTCTATTACACCTCATACAAAGAAAATTATTCATAATATCAATACATAGTTTGTTCACGTAGTTTTCATGTAGTTAATGAACGGGAAAAGACGTAGTTTTTGAAGAAAAACTACACGTAGTTAATCAGGTAAATTACGTCTTAATTAACTACTTCCGAACCCTACTTATTAGAATAATTTGAACGGGAAAGCGGTAGTAATGGCACTTTATGTCCCTTAAGTGCTGTTAAGGAGGTGAGTTTTGGTTTTTGATATTTACATCAAAAACCAAAACTCACCTCCTTATAACTGTTTATCTATTTATAATTAATTTTTGTTTCCTAAAATATTTTGATTAAAAGAAAATATGTAAAAGTGAATCAATCTTAATCACGTGACTAAAAGTTTATTTGGTATGATATATACAGGGTGAGTCTTAAATAAGTGCAAATATTTTCAGGGTTGGTAGATCTCCATAAAAGAAACATATTTTCTCTTTACCATTTTTCAGATAAGTCCAAAATAACTCAGTTATTTAAGATTGAAATTTAAAAAAAAAATTTTTGGAAAAATTTTGAGAACCACCGAATTTTTTCTGCATCGCATCCCTTTTAGTGCCGTAACCATAGAGTAAAGCCGTAAGTAACTATGGTAATATTAGAGATTAAGAAATTATATGTGGGAAAATTTGCGGTGAACAGGCAGTTCTAAAAAGGTTTCGAAAAATATACGGGGAAATTAAAAAAACTGCACGATTTTCAACATCTTTTTTTTTGCGAAAAAAACCTCATAGACGTGTTCTTGGGGTCGAAATATACCAGCCCTGAAAATATTTGCACTTATTTAAGACTCACCCTGTATAATGCTGGATACCTGTAAATCTGCCTTAATATACATTTACCTAAGGGTTTGTGTTCCGCTAACCAAGTGTACAACAGCGACTCGTGTCGTACGGTATCCAATGTGGGTACTACAATATCTGGAGAAGCGACTTTATGGGTCTCCACTTCAATCTGAGGTACCTTGTTAGACCAAGGCGCCCATTCCCCTTCTATGGTGACCTCGTAATCGATTATTGGCGTATTGTTGTCGGGAGGAAGCGGTACCGTTGTAATAGATCTGACAAAGTCGCCTAACTCCGAACGAACTTTAAGCTTGGCATCGCCGGCGAAGCTCCATAGTATAGCGTAAATTAAACATTTGGGAATGTAGCGTTCCAAGGTTTCGAAGGCTAAAGGAAAGTCGTTGTGGGAGTGATTGTATTGTAAAACATTCCTGAAATTAAAAAAATATATATTATGAATTAGGTTAGGTTTATGGTTGAAATATGGCAACCTCGACCCGCTCGTCGATAGACGACGCGACGGGACGAGTTGGCAGAAAACCCTATAAGTGCATGCGTTCTCAATAGGCAGTGTTGCCATTCTGTTCCCCTATAAGTAATTGTGCAGTTTAACAACCTGTATAAATAATAATATACAGTGTCACAGTCACAGATCAAGTGCGCATATTTTTGTTATTTACTGACATACTCTGGTTTATTACTCAGGTAGATTTCGACAGACGATGACAGATGAAAGACAGGTGACGTCCATACCAATCTATTTATTTCACTAAAAAAAGTTTTTAATATTTTTAAGTTAACTATGGATGGGTTTATATCTAAATCCGTCATGGGTCATATCTTGTTGTTTTTAACCAGTTTCATTGGTTTATTTCAAAAATGACAGATCATATTTCAATATTATTGGAACGATGAACGATGCAAGGACGTAGATGCGTATGAATCCGAATTGAGATTTTTGAAGGTTGACAAAGTTTTGCCAAATTATAGGTTATAATTTCTGTCAAATAATGTCCAATAACCTGCGTTTTGGAAGATAATGCATTTGGATTCGTGTTATTAAGTGTGTTTTGTGTTTTTTGAAGCTAAGTGGAGGAAAAATTGAGGGAAAATTAACTGTAGTTCATATTCAGTATCCAGTCTGGCCCCAGAGAGTTTTATACACCAATAAAGTTACCATCAATAAAGTTTGTATACCATCTCGTATAAGATACTAAAAACTGGAGTAGCTGTACAACAACGACATCACGCGATAGGTAAATAATAGATATTAGTACTGTAGAAAGATAATGACAAAAGGTACTGTTTTTTTTTTAAAATAAGATTATTAAGTTAATTAACCAACTTTTAAGGTATAAAATTCAGTGTAATTATTAACAAAATATTTTGTTTTATTTATTCCTGTGCAAGCCGAACAAAAATACAGCGATTAGCAGCTCTAGGTACAACTGGAGCAAGGAACAACATAGCGCAAGCTGCGCTAGAAGCAATTTTGGACTTGGAATCAATCGACAATCGTGAAGGCTCTGGCCGCTAAGGGTGCCCTAAGATTACGGAAATTCAATCTGTGGAACCATACCAACTACGGTCACTCGAGGATATTGCCAGTGATAGGAAAAATCATGGTGAACACGAGTCCACATCTGCTAGACCAGAAAACGGACTATATGCTCACCAAACATGATTTTGGAGAAAAGATAAGGATTCGCATCCCGACGATGAATGAATGGGAAAGCAACCGAGTAATGAACACTCAAGAGATAGCAGTCTACACAGATGCTTCCGCAAATTCAGGCGGCACAGGTATAGGCATCTTCTCAGAGGAACTAGACATCCGACGATTTTTAAGGCTATCGGATGACTGTAATATTTTACAAGCAGAGGTCTACGCCATAAAGGAAGCGGCTAGTTTGTATACGAGAGAAAATTGCTGATAGACCAATAGGGGATATAGTAATATACTCTGACAGCTTGGCCGCTTTAAGAAGCATCACCTTGCAATCAGTGAGATCGAAAACTGTGATGGAATGCCGAGAAGCACTGTCCTGGCTGCGTCGGGGCGGGGCTACGCTGTGCTGGGAGCCATGCCACAGCAATGTGGTGGGCAATCAGGAAACAGACAGACTCGCCAAAGACGGGGCCAGGGGAGAGGCCGTGGCAGATGACCCACCACTTGTGACGTTCAATACACTGAAGTAGGCTATAGGAACTGCCATCAAAGCCAAGCAGCAAGAGATGTGACAACACCGTGAGGACTGCGCTACAGCTCGAAGACTATGGCCAGTGGTAGATAGCAAAAAGACAAAACAACTACTAGAGCACAAAAAAGACCTAGTAATGCGTACTAAACACCTACGACGTGTGACGACACTTACAATTATGTAATTGTAGGTGTCGTCATTGGAAACTGTCCCACGGGGGTAAACCTCGTGAGATGGAAAATTTCCGACGACAACTCCTGCAGAGAATGGGGAGAGGAAACCTAACAAACCATAGAGCATTAGGGCAAGGTTTTTTGGAGGGACTAAAGAAAGCAGCAGAAGCCAACATCAGCGACATCGGGAACTTTGCAAAAAGCTGGAAGTGCATTAACGCAAAGAAAGAATGAGAGGAAGGTTTGGTAAAACAATACAGGGGTATCGCAATGGGCCCAAGGCCTCCGAGTGAGGGATCAAATATGATCCCAAACCCCAGCAACCTAACCTAACCTATTCCTGTACAAAATTTTACTTGTACATAAGTTATATTAATAAATTTAAATAATAAATGTTTTGTATCAATACATACCTTAATTTTTTTTTAAATAAATTAACTCGATTACATTTCTTCAGTTTTATACAGTTTTTTTTTAAATATTTTAAGTGAAGTAATCACTAGTCACTCAAATTTTAAATATATTAATTTCCTGCTATGTGTTCCAATTATACCAACTTATCTCTTTGTAAAATAAAATAAACTACTTTCAAATTAAAATGATAAACATATCTATGACTGTCAAAGGATTTTGTCGTTGGACAGACTATATTATTGTTTGTATTTATATTAATAACAACTTATTTCACCTGACGCTCTGATTTAACATAGAAAACAGCGAACTCAAAGCTCTTAGTCTGGTAAAGTCCATAATATGTTCCTGTTCCATTGAATGTTCTAAACATCTGATGACTAAACCATCCGGTTGAAGGAACGGTTGAAGCAGATTGGCAACATCCTGCTGTACTTGTAGTGTAGGAGACACTGTATCTTCCTTGTTTTCTATTTTCTTTCCAAAGCTATCGTCTTCTCCTAAATATATCATTGTCATATTTTAAAATTTATTTATTAATAAATATAAAAATAATCATACCTTCCTCTAGAGGAATATGTTTAAGACGAAGCATGTAGTTCTCGAAGATCATTTCCGTGGTTAATACATCTTCCGAAAACCATACCATACCACAACGAGAAACGGTGGCTAGAGTAGCGTATTTCAGATCTTGCACCTAAAAGTGTAAATCAACGTATATTTTTGCTGTTTCATTGGCGTTTTGAAAAATGTACCTCAAACATTACACGGACATTAGGTGGCAGAGAAAGACGTTCGCCGTTAGGTAGCGTAAGCAATTTGTTATCATCCAGGACAGAGTTCAAATTTTCTACCCATTCTGGATCTACATCGCCATCGAATATTATCCATTGGCGTTTATTAATTTCACCTCTTACGTTGTCAATGATTTTCCTGAAATAAAAATAATCATATATAAATATACTCTTCTAAGTTATTTCGTGAATCAATATTTACAAAATAAGATATTACTACCCCAAAGTACACAGTTTGTTTTTCTAGTGTGTTGAAATTTCAATATTTCTTTAAGTTATCTGGTATAGATTACAAAATACAATATAATTTAGCTGCATCTTAAGTTAATTAAGACTATTTATACCTTAGTATGTGAGTAAAGAGACCATCTGTCCATTCTCTAGTGTTGGGATCCAGAACACCGTACAATGCTTCCTTGCTGATGGCTTTAGGATCAATAACATGGGCTACACCTTCCACACCTTCAAATCGTTCCAGTGCTTTAAGAAGTACTCTCCATGCGGAACTTTTTCCAGAACCGCTTGGGCCCACCATCATCAAACCATGGTTTAAGTTGCAGATTTGGTATAATTGAAGAACCTAGTATATAAATTTAGTTATGTTATATAAAACAGAAAAAATATAAAAATAAGAGAAATTATATAGGTATTCTATACTTTAGTTAGAATGTGTCGATTAAGCTTAATCTCGCGACTAAAATTTTATTTGATATGAACTATATGTATATTCTCAAACGTATTGTATTTTATTTTTATTAAAAAAAAATATTACAAAAAATCATAATAAAGACCCAAATATTTCATAAATTTTAATAAACAACTATATTTAGCGACAAAAATAAAATAAACTAATGATAATGTTCTAAATTAAAACAAAGCTATAAAGCACAATTAAGTAACATTGTTGATCATACCTTTGCTACCCAGGTGTCTCGCTGTGCAGCATGAAAAAATGATGTGCTGATTTACACAATAGACAATGACAAATAAAATAAAAAATCAAAAAAAATCTGAACGTCATTTGTAATAGATCTGAAATAAACAACTGGCTTGTCTAAATCTTGTTTTAGTTTTAAAATAAACTTGAAAATTTTATTTATAAGTCACAATAGTCTTCTTCTTCTTCTTCGGGTTCCATCTCCTAATGGAGGTTGGAAATCATCATGGCAATTCTAACTTTGTTAACGGCTGCTCTGAATAACTGGTTTGAAGTCATTCCAAACCTTTCTCTCAAATTCTTGAGCCATGATGTTATTCTTCTTCCTTGGCTCCTTCTGCCCTTTATCTTTCCTTCTATTATGTTCTGCAGCAGGACATATTTAGGTCCTCTCATTATGTGTCCAAAGTACTCAAGCTTTCTCTTTTTAAGAGTGTTAATCACCTCTTCGTCCTTCTGAATTCTGCGTCGCAGTTCTACATTTGTAACCTTGTCAGTCCATGCAATCCTCAGCATACGCCGATAACACCATCTTTCGAATGCCTCAAGCTTCTCCATTTCGGCCTTTTTAAGTGTCCAAGCCTCTGAACCATAGAGTAGAGTTGCAAATATGTAACCCCTTAGCATTCTTAATCTAAGCTTTAAGCTTTAAGGCTGCTCTGGCTATTTCTATTCGAGCTTTTATTTCTGCTGATTGATCCAAGTTTTCGGTCAACCAAATGCCTAGATTATTTTTGTACTCTCTCCATAGGTGTATATATCATCTATTAGAACATTGGCTTGGACATCTTCTCTCTTAGTGATTATCATAAATTTAGTTTTCTTAGGGTTCATTTTCAGGTCATACACCCTCCACGTTGTCTGCTATAAAGACGGTATCGTCCGCGAACCGCATATTATTTAAGACCTGCCCATTAATAGTGATGCCCTCCTTTCTACTAGTCAAGGCCTCCCGAAAAATTGATTCGCTATATATATTAAACAATAGCGGAGAAAGTATACATATTCGACGCCGCTGAGAATCTTTACTTCATCAGAAAGTTGGTCGTCCACTATAACCTTCGCTGTTTGCCCCCAATCTTTGAATAAAAAGACTAAGGAAAGAGCATATCAAAAATCTTAGGTACACCGCGATGGGCCTCAAATATGGCCGACTTAAATTCCGGTTTATCAGTGTCGTTCTAATTTTATTTAAAAAATGTAAAACTATGATGTAGGGTAGACGTGGGGTAGACTCAATAATTTGTTGTTTTATTTTACGTTGTGAATAAATGTTGGTAGTTAATAAACTTGTTATAAAAATATATAATTCTAATAAAAATAGATAAGTTATAATAAGTATTTATTACCACAAACATCCGATACGCTACTGAAGCAGGTAAGTCAAATTAACGTATCTAAATTCTTTGACATCTAATCTTTGACAAGTAATAAATAAAAGCTAAAATGTAAGAAAAATATATAATTTAGTTAATTTAAGTGAATTTCATAAATGATCGGTTTACTACACGTATGTATATTATATAGCCACTTACTAGCGAAAAGTTGTTCCATTATTTCACTCAATTTTTGCCGAGATCTACCGCACGCTACACAACCAACTACTTTAGAGTCTTTTTCGATAAATCGCGATAGTGTGACTGTTAATTTAAGTGCTGCCACAATTTCCATCTAGATTTGCTACCTTTATACAACTATCAGTAGTAGAATAAATAATAAATAACATAAAATTAGCTCCGTAAAGACTGACAAATCCACAAAATTTGAAATCAAATTCAAATGTGTCAAATGAATCGTCAAACAGAACTGTCAAGGATCCCCACCCTAGAGTGCTTTTATGGTGCTTTTTCCGCCCACCATGCATGAATACATGGATAGCATTATGCTCCTTCCTTAGTCTTCTTATTCAAAGCCCCCAATAAAGATTTGCTATTATCCTGATATCTCGGCTATCGATATTCATGCCTTTAAGTATTTCAATTAGTCTATGATGTTGAACTTTATCGAAAGCCTTATCAAAATCTATAAAACACACATACGGGTCCTGATTCATATCAATACACCTCTGTGCTAACACATTTATGCTAAACAGAGCATCTCTCGTACCCGTGCCTCTTCTAAACCCTACTTGGTTATCACTGATTTCTGAGTCCACCTTAGCAAAAATTCTATTATAAATAATTCTCAAAAACACTTTCAGTGTGTGACTCATCAGGGCAATTGTTCGATGGTCGGAACATTCTTTGGCATTGGGTTTCTTGGGCAATGGTACAAAATTAAACATTAACCAATCCTTTGGTATAATGCCCGTAGTATATATAACATTAAAAAGATTAACCAAAATTTCAATGGCTTCATCATCTATAAGTTTGAGAAACTCGATTGGAAGTTCATCAGGACCATTCGCTTTGCCACTCTTGATCTGTTTAATTGCGTGTAATACTTCTCGCAAAATGGTAGGACCTGTGGCTTCTGAGAAACTGGGCACCATGTCCGGACGATTAAAAAAGGTCTTTTATATAATCAGACCAACTAAGCAGCTGTTGTCACAATAGTCACTGAGTTAAATAAGTACTGAGTATTGTAGCAAATTAAAAAAAAAATCAAAAACAGTGAATTTATTTCACTGATAATAAAAGTATTTTGATTAGATGACAGAAAGATTGGTAATCTGTTTTCTTTTGAGTTAAAAAAATAATCTAAAATAAAATATCAAAGTGACAATAAAGACATTAATTTAGAAATGTTTTAATACATAAATTATATGATTCAAAGCTTACCTTCTCCATCCAAGCGGAACCTTGCTCATCTCCTTCGCCGCAAACCAAGTATTCTTCGGCACACAAAATGGTAGGACCTGTGGCTTCTGAGAAACTGGGCACCATGTCCGGACGATTAAAAAAGGTCTTTTATATAATCAGACCAACTAAGCAGCTGTTGTCACAATAGTCACTGAGTTAAATAAGTACTGAGTATTGTAGCAAATTAAAAAAAAAATCAAAAACAGTGAATTTATTTCACTGATAATAAAGTATTTTGATTAGATGACAGAGAGATTGGTAATCTGTTTTTCTTTTGAGTTAAAAATAATCTAAAATAAAATATCAAAGTGACAATAAAAGACATTAATTTAGAAATGTTTTTAATACATAAATTATATGAATCAAAGCTTACCTTCTCCATCCAAGCGGAACCTTGCTCGTCTCCTTCGCCGCAAACCAAGTATTCTTCGGCACAAACTTTACGAATTTCATCTTTTAATCCTAAAACATTTTAACCAATTAATACATTCAAGTTTTTTAATAATATATAAAACAAATACCCTTCATTTCAGCTCTGGTGTATTGAACATTCGGGAACACATCATTCAATAAACTAAAGAGAAGAGGAATATCTTCAGCTACCAATTTGGGCACCATAGTTTCACAAACTGACTGAATTAAAATCTCTTGTTCCGGTAAGTTTTCAGCAATACTAGCTTCATCAATATTTGTTTCTCCTAATTGAAAAAAAATGTAAATAGATAATAAATACAGATTTTACAAAACGTTACCTCTCTGCTTCATGTTTTCTTTTATTCTTTGTATCCTGTCTCGTTTTACGTTTCCAGCAGAAATAAGCACCGATTTTAAGGCCCGAAGCCCAAAATCGTAATGCGACTGGTTGGACAGCTGTTCATCACAAAGCCTTAAAAAATTATAAAGAGTGAGCATTGAAATAAAAACAAATGCATATTTTAATTAAAAGCTTTTAATGCGAAGTGTACAAGACGCCGAAGCAGCTTAACAGCCGTTGCAAAAAACTCATCGCGACCTTATTAGAATATTTTGAACGGGAAAGCGGTGATAATGGCCCTTTATGCCCCATAAGTGCTGTTAAGGAGGTGAGTTTTGTTGATCTAAATAATAATTCTTTATATATTTATAATTCATTCATTCTTGTTTCCTAAAATATGTAAAAGTCGGCAACGCTGTGCTAGTCAAGCTTAATCACGTGACCAAAAGTTTATTTTTTATGATTTATATACAGGGTGGCGCACCTCATTCGCCTCGGTTGATTATACGAAAACAGATAGATGTAGAAACATAATTTTTATGGGTACATGTAGTGATGCAATGCGCATAATTTAAAATTATTTTCAAATGTACAGGGTGTGTCAGAACTAAGATCCATACCAAAGTTATATTTTTTCTTATGGAACACGCCCGGTATTTTATTTCATTTTCGGATTCTTGGGCATACGATATACGATAAGGCATTTATTATAAGGGTTTAATATGTTTAAATGCTTTGGTTTTTGAGATATTTAAAGATATTTAAATATGCATACTATAATAAAAAAGTTTGTCAACGCCTTGAACATTACTTTTCGGAATTAATTCTTCTGCTGAATTTCGAGCCAGAGAAATAAACTTTACTAAAAAAATTGATTCCTTCCTTAAATGTATACAGGGGTATCAAAAATTGCTGGTCTCTTTTAAATATTTATTTTACATAAAAACTTCGCTATTTCAAATACAACACCCTGTATTTTTTTAAATAAATCAAAGCAGATTTAAATGCTCTATCAAACTATATTAGGGTTTCCTATACCTATCTAGCTTAGATTTTGAATAAAAACGATTTTTCAATAAAATGGCAATCAAGATGGCTGGTGTCGCCATGGCAATTTGCTAGTGACAGTTAATAGCAATTTTCAAAATCGACATTAGTTATGGACTTTATTTAAATTTATAACAGTTTACTTTTATTTAATTTACCTACTATAGTCTGTGAAACGAATAACTTTGAATTTGACAGTTCCCACGGGCTTTTCTAGTGTTAATTTTATTAGGTTAGCAACTTGCGGCCATGCTGACGCAATGCCGTCTCTAATAGAACAGCCTCGGAGCGAGATTTATGACGTCACGCTAGTTAGATAATATGGATTAATAAATATGTTGTAGAATACATGGAAAATATAATTATTCCTCGTATTTTTGGTTTGTACCTTAAAAATGATATAGTTTACATGAAATACATCATATACAGTTAATAAATACAATATATATACCTACTTATAGTAATAAATACTTTGGCAAATAAACTATGAACCATACAAATGCACCAAATGTTTTACAATATTCAAATAATGAATTGTACATAGGATAATGGGTAAAATGTAAAATATAATTTAAATTTTGGGGTTTGAAAATAGATCTAATTTAACAAAAAACATTCAATATCTACTAATAGTGATGATATTCTGCAAGTATCAATGTTCGAAAAATTATATTTGCAAATAATACAATACCATAGGCAGTAGATATTGAATGTTTATTGTTAAATTTGATCGATTCAAACCCCAAAATTTAAAATATATTTTACATTTTACCCATTATCTTATGTACATATTCATTATTTGTATATTGTAAAACATTTGCTGGCATTTGTATGGTTCATAGTTTATTTGCCAAATGATTTATTACTATAAATAGGTATATATATATATTGTATTTATTAACTGTATATTATGTATATTTCATGTAAAATATATCATTTTTAAAATACAAACCAAAAATATGAGGAATAATTATGTTTTCCATGTATTCTACAACATATTTATTTATTAATCTGTAGTATTTAATTGCGCGACGTCATAAATCTCGCTCCGAGGCTGTTCTATTAGACGGCATTGGTCTGATATTTAGAAATGTCAAAAGCTGATATGACATTTTACTTTTCACAATTATGACATTTCGTGTTCATTTTTGTAAGAAGAGGAAGAACTGTCACTTGTTTTATTATTTTCCTTTTCTATTTCACGAAAGTAAAAAGAGTTATCTATCTGATTCGTTCAGGCACTCAATTTAAAGAATATCAGTAATTTTTTTGATAGAGGGATTTTATATTTGCCATGTTGGTAAAAAATAACGGTCAAAATTCAAAGTTAACATTTTATAGACTATAATAGTTTAATAAGTAAGTATTTATTATTTTATAAAGAAAAATAAAGTAGTTCTTCTTGATTTATATTACGATGACTTGTAGATACATATATTGTATTTTCTATAAAAGAACCAATTAAGGCAAATTAATTTTCTTCACTTCCAACGACAGGTTTCTGCCTAATAGGTTTTTCATGTACCACGCTTATCAAGAAAATTCCTATTTGGACATCTTTAAGCATTAACCCTTCAGGCCAACAAGCAATTCTCCTCACAAAATAAAATCACTAGTAACTAGTAACATATCCATTCCTTCCGCCAGCAGACACTGCTTCATTTTTCTTGATAAAATAATAAATACTTACTTATTAACCACATTGTAGGTAAATTAAATAAAAATAACCTGTTATAAATTTAAATAAAGTCCATAAACTGATGTCGATTTTGAAAATAGCTACTAAGTGTCACTAGAAAATTGACATGGAGACAACCTAACCTAACCTAACCTAACCAGCCATCTTGATTACAATCAAATACGTTTAAATAAAATATACGGCGGCCTCCCCATAAGAGCAATGAGAGGATTTACGTCCCAGTCAGGGCCATGTAAGTGAAATATTAAAAATGGTTCCAGCAAAAGTTTCCCAATTATGACGGGTGATGGCGCTGATCGTCAAAATTTTTGTACAGGGATTTTGCTTACCGACAATACGACGTGAGCCTTGTTTCGTGAGCTACGACCGGACCAGGGACCAATCAGAATGATCAGTCTTTCTTGGACATTTGCCGCGGAAGTGTGTGTTAATTTCTGTTGTGATAAGTGTGGTTGTGTTTGCAGTTTGATTTTTCGGTTTTGATATTATGTTAAAATTAATTTTGAAGTATTGTATCACCTGTTTTTATATAATAGTACTTTTTTTTAGTTCTATGATCTGATATGTTATGATTTGTTAATGTTTGTTTAACAATGTTATACCAAAGAGGTTATACTTAATATATCAATTTGCATAGCCTAACTTTTTTATCAATAAACTTTGTAGATTTTCAGATTATTTAATTCCTTTTGTTTCCGTTTGTAATTTTATTTTTAAGACATATTATGTGATTGTTTCACATAATATGTTTTAAAAATAAAATTGCAAATAGCGAATAAAAATAATTAAAATAAAAGTGTATTTTACAATTCCCCCCGGCCCCGCACCCCTTTAGCTAACCTGTAAATGTCAGCTATGTCGAGAGATGGCGTTACGAAAATGGAACCGATTTATTACAAGGAACTTGGGCTTCTTTTTCGTTAGTATATTCTGTGGTCCCAGTATTGAAGGAGGACAGAAAATCGAGTAGAATGTTCAAGACATAGGTTCATCCTTGTTTAGTCAAACCTCCTACAAACCAAGGATAGACTTATGTAGGAAATGCATTGAAATTCTATAGCCATCCTTCAATATCGGGACAGGAATTTAAGCGGTACCCTCCGTATACTTTATTTTAAACGTATTTGATTACAGTGTTATTGAAAAATCTAGGAAATCTAAAAAAAATAGGAAACCCTAATATAGTTTGAAAGAGCATTTAAATCTGCTTCGACTTATTTAAAAAAATACAGAGTGTTGCATTTGAAATAACTAAGTTTTTATGTATAATAAATATTTAAATGAGACCAGCAATTTTTGATGCCCCTGTATACATTTAAGGAAGCAATAAATTTTTTTAGTAAAGTTTATTTCTCTGGCTTGAAAGTCAGCACAAGAACTAATTCTGAAAAGTAATGTACGAGGTGCTGACAAACTTTTTTATTATAGCATGCATATTTAAATATCTCAAAAACCAAAGCTTTTAAACATATTAAACCCTTATAATAAATACCTTATTTTCTGCCCAAGAATCCAAAAATGAAATAAAATACCGGGTGTTTCATAAGAAAAAACATAACTTTGATATGGGTGTTAGTTCTGACACACCCTGTACATTTCAAAATAATTTTAATTATGCACGTTGCTTTCCAACATACACCCATAAAATATTTTATTTCTACATCTTTCCGTTTTCGTATAATCAACGGAGGGGAATGAGGTGCGCCACCCTGTATATTATAAATTTAAAATTAATTAATCAAACACGAAATAAAAAAAAACAGTTAAAAATTTACGTTTGAGTATACATTATTATTTCTCTACAATTCCAATGACTTACTTGAAGAAGGGTACAATTTTACAGGCTAACTTTTCAGCAGATCTAAAACCTTGCGAGAATAACATAACTTCAGCAATAAGCTGCCTATCTGGTGTGGTCATAGCCAACGACCTAAAGAGTTTCTTCAAATTGTCGGGCAAGTTGGACCTTCCGGCATACCCGGGGTTCATAGTAATAAAGATTGCCATATCTGGGGAAACTCTGACTTGTTTTCCGACCAATTCCACGCTGATACCTTTAAAAAATATTATTAGTATCCAAATTTAGTAAAAAAATTGGTCAAGTGCGAGTCGGACTCGAACTGGCTTGTCTAAATCTTGTTTTAGTTTTTAAAATAAACTTGAAAATTTTATTTATAAGTCACAATAATTTCTTCTTCTTCTTCGGGTTCCATCTCCTAATGGAGGTTGGAAATCATCATGGCAATTCTAACTTTGTTAACGGCTGCTCTGAATAACTGGTTTGAAGTCATTCCAAACCATTCTCTCAAATTCTTGAGCCATGATGTTCTTCTTCTTCCTTGGCTCCTTCTGCCCTTTATCTTTCCTTTTATTATGTTCTGCAGCA